GAAGTTTCGAGAGAAGTTCAGTAGCGTGCGAAGGAGGTATCCGACGCCGCCAAAGGAGAAAATGAAGAAGGTGGAACGTGGAGCCGAGTGAAGCAGTCGTCGAGGAAACGTGGTGGTGGAACTGCGAGGGACCCGAAGAAGAAGTGAAGACAACAGAAACCGGTCAGATAGAAAATAAGAAAGTGGGAGTAGTATATACGCTAGGGAGGAATAAAAGTGTCAGCAGAATCCGACAATAAAAGTTGTAGTTTTGAAAAGTGAAGTGCTGTAGCAGTTTTTACTGTACCAAGTGCGCTCATTCCTTGCCACGTGGAAACCTAGTTCGGTAAGCGCGCCGACCATGAGGCCATTGTAGTCAGGGAGTCTCAGGATTGCTCCTAACTGAGGTGGCTAGTACTTACAAAATTTACTTTTTTTAATAATCATAAAAAAATATCCAATGTACTGTTTCAAGAGATGGGTACGTGATTGTTACTTCGGACATTTAGACTGCCTAACATGATTGGTGCTCATTGTCTAAAGGCGGGGCATGGCAAACCAATCTAAGGTCAGGTACTGTATTCTCTATTCTGAAATCTATGTAAGGGAATCTAGAATCATGTAGAACAAAACGTCCAATGTAACACTCATTGATTATATCATTGAGAAAAATCGTCCAATATAACATGTCCGACGAACATCTTGACTAGTCAAAACGTCCAAGTGTCCATGTGATTTTTTAAATATTGTAGCATGAAATTAAAGTCAAATTGTGATTTCACCGTTTCTACTCAATTTTCAACGTTATTATTCTCGAACTTCAACTTCGATTTTCTCAAAATGATGGACATCTTACATTGGTCCTTTAGAGAAGTTTTCTGTGGATCAGCAATATTATGAGGATCGTCTTGAAGTACCTTGTACCTACGTGCAAAACACAAAAAAGGTTTAGCTGTGCTGTATTAATCTAATGCACTAAATTTTCGAGAGAAAAGGACCAGAGAGAGCATGGAAAATGTTCGAGAGACGTACGAATGGGAAACAGCTTGGGTAATATATTAAGCTGCAAAATCAATGTCTAATATCCGTAACGTGACACAATAGTATACTTAACTCATGGTATTAAAATTGTAAAATTTTGGAATTTAAGCTAATTTTGCATTTTTGCATATTTTTTGTTAGCACAGGCTCGATGCACGTCTTTTATATTTTGACGTGCAAAAACACAGATGTACGTTCCTACTCATCTGTGCTTAGGGCGCAGCTACAAAGCAAGACCATGCTGAAGGTGGCTGGGTCCGATTCCCGGTCCGGTCTAAGATTTTTTCGGATTGGAAAATTTCTCAAACTCCCTGGGCATAAAGTATGATTGTACTTGCGCTACCGTATAATACTAATGCAAAAATGGTACAGGCACCGAAAGCTCTCAATTAATAACTATGTAAGTGCATCTAGAACACTAAGTTGAGATCACGCAATAAGCTAATATGCCATAAGCAATACGCTTGTAATGCGAAGACGAAAAAGAAATCTGCGCTTAGTGCAGTTTCCTATCCCTGATAGTAACAACGGATGTCGAACTAACAATCCTTACCCTCCCTGATGATCGTAAGGACGTGTTCGGTAAAAACACATGGACATGGATGTAATGTCGGCCTAAATGCCCCTAATTTGGGCCCATACATAAATTCAGCAATCGACTAAATTTTCAATAGCGACCAAAAATATCCATTAGTACCGTCCCAATGACGCGTTCATCTAGATAAAATTGATAAATAGCAGAATTTTTGCGATGCGCCCAATCTTAGATCCCTATGCCAACATGAAAGCCATTTTCCCTACTCAATACATTTTCCTGAACGTTTATTTTTTTTTTATTAAAATTAGATAATAGATGAAATGGCTCCAATATTGACCTATAGATCTAAAATTGGGCCTATCGCTAAAAATCTGCTATTTATAAATTTTATCTAGATGAACGCTTCATTGGGACGGTACTAATGGATTTTGGTCGTTATTGAAATTTTAGTCGATTTTTAATTTATGTATGGGCCCAAATTAGGGGAATTTAGGCCGCCATTACATCCATTTCCCCTATTTGATAAACATAAATTTTGAATGTACAAAAAATTCCATTAATTCGAATAATTTGAAAAAGCTTAAATTACTATACATTTTGTGAACTTTAAGTGAGCCAAATACAACAATTTAGTGTACCAATTCTTGCAAAATTTCGTGGATTTATTCATCATTGTTTGATCATTTGTGGGTAACTTTTTGTGTAAGTTTATAAACACCATGAAGACAAACAAATTTGTCAGTGAGGGACATCCAATAATACATATTCACCAATATCCCACCCCCAGCAGGCCTGGGTTCAATTCCAGTCGGCGCCGCCGTGATGTTCTGAGGCATAACATCTCTGATCACGCCGGGAAGTAAAGCCGTTGCCGTTTCTAGCCTTAGTTGCTTCAGGACACTGAATATAATTTTTTTTATTTGTTATTTTATCCCATAATCCTACTTTTGGGCTGTTCACAAACTACGTAGACAGTTCCCCTGCGTAAACAATAACTAATACATTTTTTTTTTGAATTTGTATAGACTGCAGACACTCGCCAAAATTCTAGCCCCTAAAGTATAAATTTCTAAGGGGGCCTCATAGCCTAGTCAGTAAAAGCACGGTATTACCAAGCCGGAGGCGGCGGGTTCGATTCCCGGTCCGGTCGAGGGAATCTTTCGGGTTGAAAATTTTCTGGACTTCCCTGGGCATCGAGTATCATTGTGCTTTGCCACACAATATACAAATTCATGCATCGAAAGCTCTCAATTAATAACTGTGGAAGTGCATTTAGAACACTAAGTTGAGAGCACGCAATAAGCGAATATGCGCGAAGAAATAAGCTTGAAATGCAAACAAGAAAAAGAAGTATAAATTTCTAAATTTAGAAAATTTTCTCTTCGTGTCCCCATGAGATCGATGCCCTTAAACAAAAAGATGCCTCTATACATTTGACCCATTTATCGTGCATGGATTATTGATCGCACGTTTTGTACAAAGTTTATTCTTCGCCGACATTAAAGTATATTCACTGTCTACCACGCAGTTTTATTTATGGCACATACAACCAGAACCTGACTTCACCTTTGCTCAATGCAAATGAGGACATGCAATATAGATAGGGTAGGAGCTACTTCGACATAAGCGCTCATTTCCGTCATATAGAAGAGAAACATAAAAAAGTATATCAAAGATTTCCACATGAGCGAATCAATCATACGTTTGGTACTATAGTTCAGCTCAAAGCTACAAAACAAAGTCTATAATAACGCATAAAATGGATATTGACATTCATTTTTCTCGAAAACAAAAGAAGCGAATCCATTTCTTTCTTCTGCCTTCATCCGTATGTCGAAGTGAATCTAATGACGTTTAAATATGTTTGGACGGAATTGGAATCGAGAAGCAATGAAAGAGTTTTAACAACATCTCAACAATTTGTAACTCTTTATCAATTCTACCAGTACGTAAGGAAATGTAAATAAATTCAGAAGTCATCTTTGATAGAAACATTCCAATTTTGTTCAAACCCGCTCGTGTGCTAAAGTGCGGGTTGTGCTTAGTATGACGGAAATTAGATCTTATCCCTATCTTGATGCATGTAATACTATAATAAATGACCCCCTAACTGCGAAAAAAAAATCTGCGTCCTTAGAATTAACAAGGTGGACATCTGCCGGTCACCTCGGATTGAAGGAATTTTTCGATACAACGCACTCACGCAAATAATGCTGAGGCTATCCGATGCGTTTGATCGTGTGCACAGCATGAGTAGGTTGAGCGTGTGAAAAGTTTGATCATATCACTGAATAACAAAATAACAGTCAGAATATTAACTCCCCGCTAAATGGCTTTGTTACTTATGCATAGCAGTAATTGGATATTGTACGCACTCTAAAAACTTGATTAATGATGGATATGGGAACACAATAATGATGATTCCTGAATTTTTGTATAAATTTATTATGGGAACGATGTGAGGGAACCTTGGCGAGAACACTATTCAAGTGTTGGCAACCGTCCATTAGGAACTTATTGCGAGTGATTTATTCGAACCGAGTTAATTAAACGCCTGAGGGCGGCATCTTTTTACAATCTTGCTAAATCAATTTATAAGCGACATTTACACTTGATGTAACCATGATTTATCATCGTGCACTTCTCAACACAATATATGCTTCCATGACAAGCCTGCTTGGTGATGTCGCGATAGCAAACATCAGATTTGCTGATATATTAGTAAAGTAATGCCGCGGATACACTTGAATGACAAACTATGAGCATGAACATTATTTGTATAATAAGTATGACCACTATACAACAACTATACAACAACTATACAAAAACTATACAAGTATAACCATGGATTTGCTCATAAATTATTATACAAATAATGGTCATGTTCATAGTTTGTCATACAAGTGTATATGCGGCATAAGTTTTAAGAGGTATATCATTCTTTCTAGAAATGAAAGCTTACTATCCAAAGGGGGCGTTTAATTTATTTTATTGATATGGTTGATTAAATTATATAATCATAATTTATAATTCTTAAAACTCTATTCATCAGAGCTGTGAAATTTATACCGCCTCAATCCGGAGTATCGAATTCGCGTAAATTATCATAACGAATTAAAAATCCCCATCCATCATACAGATTGTTCCCAAACAACGCATACCATTCACGTTCATCATGAGACAAGACAAACCTTACATTGATAGCCATCTCACGAATTCTTGTGACTTGATATTTTTTAACCATGCCACGATGTTGTTGTAAAAAAAACAAGCTTTATCACCTATCTCTACGATTATTTCACTTAAATTCGTCGGCTTCCAGCCATTAGATGAAGCCGTTGATGTCATATTGTATTCTACGGAAGAATTAAATAGCCATTAACGGGAAAACTCCTACAATGATGAGCCAATTAAAAAATAGTACCTTTCTGTGATCTTCCAGCACAAAAATACACGCAATGGGCACGTCGTACAAACTTGGTATGGAAGAGCTCTCGGGCAAATCTTCCAACATCTGGAAAGCACTGGTAGCTGAATTCATCGGTAAGATCTTACATGTGTTGAATTTTTGCAAAGAATTAGCATCTTGTTTATATTGCTAGTAATGATCTTTTTCAACAGGAATCTTCATTCTCAACTTTTTCGGGTGTGCAGCATGTACCCACGCGGCAGGTGATAAAACTCTCATTTCCCTGGCATTTGGATTGAGCGTGTTTATGGTTGTTATGGTAAGTCTCTACATAATTTAGATACCTAATGACATTTTGTAATGATCTACATTAGTTTAACGTTTCAATAGGGTGCCTAAATTACAAATTTGGCTGTCCGGTACATTCCCAACTAACAAATTTTGCAGCAGACCAGCTTATACAGACAATAAATAGCTGCATAAAGCAATGTTTGGTTGCATAAGCTGGTCTGCAGGGATTTTGTTCATTTAAATCGAGGGGGGCGACACAGCTAAATCTCAATTCTAGATGCTCGAAAAATCTCACACTAGCGAATCAATCTTCTAAAAATCTTCTTTTTTTTTAACTCTTTATTTGTTACAAATTCAAAATAAATTACATTTCATTTTAACCTAGGTGCTCCAGTTACTACAGTAACTTACCAGCCTTAATGGTATGATATATATCTAAGTATTTTTACATTGTTCCTCTCTTGGCAATTCAGTATTTTAAACAGGTTTTTTGAACCTGCATGTCAGTATAACAATTGATATCTTAAAACTAAAAACTAAAACTAAATCTTATCTAAGTATAAAGAGAATTAATCGTTGCAATTAAGGATTGTAAAGATTTTTGCCTGAAATTATAAATTATTTTGTTGGACATTTGTTCTAAAGTCTCAACATTCGAAATTCTATGTACCTCAGTAGTACTGTACCAGGGAGGCAACTTCAAAATCATCTTCAGAACTTTGTTCTGAATCCTTTGAAGTGCTTTTTTCCTGGTAGTGCAATAACAAGATCATATTGGCACAGCGTAAAGCATGGCCGGTCTAAACACTTGTTTAAATATTAGAAGTTTATTCGTCAGGCAAAGTTTGGATTTACTGTTTATAAGAGGATACAAACATTTTATATATTTGTTACATTTGGCTTGAATGCCCTCAATGTGATCTTTAAAAGTTAATTTATGGTCAAGTATTAATCCAAGATCACTTGGTTTGACCAGGAAATTGGAGCTCCGTTCATAGTGACTATGTGACTACTACTAAGTTTCAAAAACGAAGCTCTAGGCTTATGTGGAAATATTATAAGTTGAGTTTTGGAAGCGTTGGGATAAATCTTCCATTTTTGTAAATAAGAAGAGAAAATATCTAAACTTTTCTGCAGTCTGCTGCAAATAACACGAAGACTTCTTCCTTTAGCGGAAATGCCTGTGTCATCAGCGAACAAAGATTTGTGGCAACCCTGAGGCAAATCAGGTAGGTCCGAAGTGAAAATGTTATACAATATAGGCCCAAGAATGTTACCCTGAGGAACTCCTGCTCTAACAGATAGTCGATTAGATTTGGAATTTTGATAATTTCTCTTTTGAACTAATTTCATAATATAAAGTGGAAAATTAAACTTTTTCAATTTAGCAATCAAACCTTCATGCCAAACACTGTCGAATGCTTTTTCTTGAGTGGCCTTCAGATTTATTTTAACGAATTAAATTGGTAACTCTTAAGAGTTGATGAGTAGTTGAATGCCCATGGCGAAATCCAAACTGCTCATCTGCAAAAATTGAGTTCGTATTGATGTGTAGCATCATTCTATTCAAAATTATCTGTTCAAAAAGTTTACTTATTGAAGAAAGCAAACTTATTGGGTGGTAGCTTGAAGCTTCAGCTGAATTTTTATCCGGCTTCAAAATTGGAACAACTTTTGCATTTTTCCATTTATCAGGAAAGTATGCCAAATGGAAACATCTGTTAAATAATTTTACCAAGAAAGACAAGGTACTCTCTGGGAGTTTTTTGATGAGGATATAGAAAATTCCATCATCACCTGGAGCTTTCATATTTTGAAACTTTTTAGTTATAGACCTTACTTCGTCCAAATCAGACCCCCAGGAATCATCAAAAATATTTTCCCGAGAGAAAATATTCAGAAAATCCCGAGCATCCTGATTCTCAATAGGACTAGTAAGATCCAAACTGAAATTATGGGAACTCTCGAATTGCTTAGCAAGTTTCTGACCTTTTTCAAATTTGTGATCAAAATTTTATCACCTTCTTTAAGCGCTGGAATTGGCTTTTGAGGTTTTTTCAAAATTTTTGTGAGTTTCGAAAAGGGTTTGGAACTCGGGTCTAATTTAGAAACATTATTTTCAAAAGTTTTGTTCCTCAGGGCAGAGAATCGTTTTTTAATTTGTTTTTGCAAATCCCGCCAGATAACTTTCATGGCAGGATCGCGTGTTCTTTGATATTGTCTCCAACGGACATTTTTAAGACGGATCAAGAGCTGAAGATCGTCGTCTATTATAATTGTATCGAATTTAACCTCGCATTTTGGTACTGAGGCAGCTCTTGTTTCAACTATAAAAAGACTATACGGTCAAAATTTGGTCAAGGGAAAACGCGTGTAAATCGGTGAAATCGTTTATTTAAAAAATCAAATTAAATTTCTTTTTCAAGTTCAATTAGTATAAAATTCAGGAAAAATATTCAGTTAGGCTTCCGCTTTTCCAAATCCGAATTGCCGGGCCTTACGCTTGACCCCTGCTATCAGATTTTGTACAGCCACCTTGTCCACCTTCTTCGCCACAGAAAGCCAGTTTGCCTTGAACTGCTGCTCGCCCTTAGCAGTTTTTTTTTTTGGTCTTCTTTAGGTTCCGCTTGACAATAGCCCAGTATTTCTCAATTGGGCGGAGCTCTGGCGTGTTGGGAGGGTTCTAGTCCTTGGGAACCACCTGCACGTTGTTGGCGACGTACCACTCCATGGCCTTTTTACCGTAATGGCAAGATGCCAAATCCGGCCAAAACAGTACGGAACAACCGTGTTTCTTCAGGAAAGGCAGCAGACGTTTATTCAAACACTCTTTCACGTAAATTTCTTGGTTGACAGTCCCGGAAGCTATGAAAATGCTGCTTTTCAAGCCCCAGGTACAGATGGCTTGCCAAACCAGATATTTCTTTGCGAACTTTGACAGTTTCATGTGCTTGAAAACATCTGCTACCTTTCCCCTTCCTTTTGCCGTATAAAACTCCTGTCCCGGAAGCTGCTTGTAGTCGGCTTTGACGTAGGTTTCGTCGTCCATTACCACGCAGTCAAACTTCGTCAGCATCGTCGTGTACAGCCTCCGGGATCGCGCTTTGGCCGTCGTATTTTGTTTATCATCGCGATTTGGAGTCACTACCTTCTTGTAAGTCGATAGTCCGGCTCGTTTTTTGGCTCGATGCACGGTTGTAGACGATACACCCAGCTTATTTGCGGCATCTCGGAGTGAGAGGTTAGGGTTTCGCTTGAAACTACCGGCAACTCTCTTTGTCGTCTCAGCGGCTTCCGGTTTTCGATTTCCCCCCGATCCAGACTTCCTGGCTGTCGACAAACGTTCCCCAAACACTTTAATTACATTTGTAACGGTTGATTTGGCAACTTTTAGCGATTTTGCCAACTTTGCGTGCGAGTAGCTCGGATTTTCGCGATGCGCGAGCAAAATTTTGATACGCTGCTCTTGCTTGGACGGCATTTTGACAACTGAAGAGTGAATTCCAAAATCAAAATAGGAGCAACATTCTACACACACACCTTCAAAATGAGGGGTGTTCAGGTTTTTTAAATGCAAAATTGAAAGAAATACGTCAAGTTGATATTGACCAAATTTTGACCGTATCACCCTTTAGAAGTAGTCAGAGATTCAAAAGCATAATTAATTTCATCTTTGGTTTGCAAAGGAATGTTTGGATCGAAGTTATATTCCATAAATGTTCGATATTGCTCTCAATCAGCTCTATGGTAATTGAAAATAGAGCTGTTGGGATTAGAAATTATTTCTTGGGATATTTCAAAAGTTACCGGAAGGTGATCAGAACCGAAGTCAGCATGGGTAACCAATTGGCTACAAAGTTGACATGAATCAGTTAAGACCAAATCAATAGTGGAGGGATATCTTGCAGAAGAAAAGCATGTTGGGCTGTTTGGATATTGAATAGTGTAATAACCTGCAGAACAATCATCAAACAGAATATTACCATTGGAATTGCTTTGAGCATTATTCCATGAGCGGTGTTTTGCATTAAAATCATAAATAATAAAGAATTTAGACCTATGACGGGTAAGTTTCTGGAGGTCACCCTTGAGAAAATTCCTTTGCTGGCCTACGCATTGGAATGGCAAATAGGCAGCTATAAACGTAAGTTGTCCAAATTTTGTTTCAACAGAAACTCCCAAAGTTTCAAAAACTTTGGTTTCAAATGAAGAAAGAATTTTATGTTTGATTCGTCTATGAACAATGATGGCAACGCCACCACAGGGTCCATCAAGACGATCATTTCTATAAATTAAATAATTTGAGTCCTTCTTAACCTTATGGTCAGGTGTAAGGAACGTTTCAGTAAAAATCTTCTTTCATTTCTCGCATCTACTTACATCGCACATCATCTTTTTGCAGGAAAGCTCCAGAATCGTCATCAATCCTCTTTCTATCTACTCAGCGTACGCGCAGCTAGCCACAGCAAACCACAATCTTTCATGCATCGTACGCAGTTCGAAAAAGTAGTGTAAATTTCTGTCACTATGATGCACATGAATGGAGCGTCACATATTATACAAATTTACATTATAGATCGTGTAAATTTATGAGTCATTTAATGAAATATTCTAAATATTGTATGCAACCATCCATCTTTGTAGGCAATATTTCTTGCAAGCTGCTAGTTTACGTAAAAAAGAAGTTTACATGTTTCAATTTTAGCATGCATGGATATTTACATCACCATTAAAATTCATAATTTCAGTGCCAACATTTCAAAGGGGCGTAATTGCTTTTGTAAACAATGACTTTAGCCGTCAATTTCTCGCTAACGAAATCTTACCTCTCCAAAATTACAATACTAGCTGGTAGAGAAAACAGTCCTCTACCTGGTGGTGTCATTATTTTTCATGAGTGAGCTTTTATTCGCGAGAAATCAACGGCTAAAGCCATTGTTTACAAATGCAATTACGCCCCTTTGAAATGTTGACACTGATTTTTTGGTGTGTAGTTTGAGTCGTCCCCCTCGATTTAAACCAAAAATATATATGTTTATGCAATAAAAATATGAATATTTCAAAGCAAATTAAAAACATGATTTGAACAAAAATATGTATGTTTGAATTAAATTCAAAATAATGTTTATTTCAACAATAAACAATCTGGGTAAACAATTTTTAGCGTTTCCTTGTTATCCTTCTTGTTTACATTCGGCAAACTCAACCGAAAACGGCCTGCAAGCGGCGAAACCGAAGTGGAAGGTCCGGAAACTCACGCAAGCAAATGTTCAAAGCTCGACAAAACCGGTGGAACCCCACAATATCAACGTCATTCCGTCGTTTCTGATGCCGATCCCCATATCATCCTCAACCCCCACTCGACGTCGAAAGAAAAACAGATCATCCCCCAACACCAATCGTAGAAAGAGGCCGATATGAGGACTAGCGTCAGAAACGACAAAACGTATTAGCGTCGTTTTCACAAAGTTTCACCGGTTTTACTGAACTGAAACCCCTGGAAACCCACCCCTATGGTCCCCCGGATCTCGGACCCAGATCCCAACAACCATAGATCACCCTTAATCGCACCGAAAAATATCAGGAATTTAGATGCCCTGTCTGCAGCTTTCCACGAGGCTTTCCATATATTTGCTATCCATTTTAAATATGTTTGTTTATTTTAAACATGAAAAGCATGTTAAAAAAAACATATTTATTTTTGATTACATATAGTTGTCAAATCAAACAAAAATATTCACGTTTATTTTCAACACGAATATTTTTTAAAATAAACGTAACATTATTTTTGGTCAAACATTATTATCAATGGCTTCAAACATGGAATACATTTGAAATCAACCTATACGGATAGAAATCTCCTTATACCTTTTGGCAAATTTCTATTGCTGATTATTCATAAAATGTATAAGTCAACTAATAAGCAGACGCCTTGAAAAAAGTTAATGAAGATGATGTGTCAAATGAAATGTATAAGCGGTCCCACATACACAGCAAAAAAAGTTGTTGAATATTACATCGAAACTGATGCAACCAGGTCAATCCATCGGTTGTGTAATATCACATTGTACGATGTACATCGATTTTGCGAACAAAATTACATCCATTGATGTAATATTGTATCTGCTTTTTGCTATTACATCATTATTTCATACATCAGCTTGAATTACGTTGATCGATATTACATTTTTTTTTGCTGTGTACCTTTTATGCATTTTTATAGGACCTATGTGGTTTGTCTTATGAAATGTATAAGGCTGATGTTTTGGCAAAAATATATAAGTGAAACACATGAATAAAATGTGGCCAGAACAAACTGAGTTTACGTTTAAATTTGAGGTAAATTTATGTATATATATTTTTTCCTTTGATTTGTTTTCCGTCGATCTTGTTTTCCGTGCTGAGCACCAATGCTACCGACGCCAGGAAGGCAGCTCCCACACCTGGACCCTACCTATCGACCCATCAACTCATGAACCGGGGACCAACGGCTTTACTTCCCTTACTTACGAAGGAAGGCGTGATCAGAGATGTTATGCCTCAGAACATCCCGGCGGCGCTGACTGTGATTGAAACCCAGGCCTGCTGGGGTGAGAGGTAATCACGCTTACCACTACACCACCGACGCCGCTAATTTATATTTTTGTTTCGGCGGTAAATTTTTCTAGAACAGTCGCATCGAATTCAGATCTGAACGTACGGTAGCAAGCGGTAGTAAAGCACACAAAGCAACAGTCAATTCAGAAACTTACAAACCAACTGTCACCCCAGGCCTGCTGGGGTGAGAGGTAATCACGCTTACCACTACACCACCGACGCCGCTAATTTATATTTTTGTTTCGGCGGTAAATTTTTCTAGAACAGTCGCATCGAATTCAGATCTGAACGTACGGTAGCAAGCGGTAGTAAAGCACACAAAGCAACAGTCAATTCAGAAACTTACAAACCAACTGTCGCGAGAAGGCTGTACTTAAAGATATTGAATTGACCACTTTGTCAAGCAGTTTTGGCGTAACTTTCTACCAGCGATTTCACAAAACTGGAACAACTAATTTCAATTTTTTTATGAAACGCACAATGTTGGCTACTTTTCTCGAGGTTCTAGAAGAAAAAATCTCAAAATAATGTTTTATTTCAAAGCTCGAGAGGTAGTAAACGTCATTAAGTGCTCGAATAAAATGGTTAATTGTTTCAATTTTGAAATGTCGTCTCTTTATAAATTAACCACTTCATTCGAGCAGATAAAATGACGTTTACTACCACTCGAACTTTGAAATGAAACATTATTTTGAGATTTTTTCTTCTAGAACCTCGAGGAAAGTAGCCAACATTTGTGCGTTTCATAAAAAAATAGAAATTAGTTGGTCCAATTTTGTGAAATCGCTGGTAGAAAGTCACGCCAAAACTGCTTGACAAAGTGGTCAATTAAGGCTCTTTAACTGTAGGTACTATTTGGAAGCCTGCACCCTGCTCCCTGGCGTCGGTAGCATTGGTGCTCAGTACACGGCCAATCATACCAACTCAGTGACTGAGAATAATTGATTCAGATTATTTTCTTTCCATACGAAATTTACTCAGATTTGGAAAAAAAAACTGCAGTTTTTTTTCCAAATCTGAGTAAATTTCGTATGAAAAGAAAATTCTCTGAGTCAATTATTCTCAGTCACTGAGTTGGTATGATTGGCCGTGTACGGAAAAAAAATCAAGGAAAAGAAACATCACAGCGAATGAGAACAACCCAAATTTGAGTTTAATTCACTCATAATCGCCAAAAGTGAAGGTTGTTGGAACTCAGCGATGAGTAAATTTGTCTCATGGTTTCCTGTGAAAACTTAAAAAATCTGCCGGAAAATGAGGAAATTGACGAAAATGTTATTCAGTCTCGGAGTAGTACCAATAGACAGAGTGAATCCAATCTTTACTTTTCTCAAATTCCGGAATTTTTCCCTAGAAAATCCTGGAAAAACCTGGGAAAACATGAGGCAAATTTACTCATCGCTGAGTTCCTGCACTTTTGGCGATTATGAGTGAACTAAACTCAAATTTGGGTCGTTCTCATTCGCCGTGCGGCCGTGCAAGTGTTGAAGTCTACGTAATTATTGATGTCTACATCTAGGCGCGTTCAGTACCCGCAACATTTTGAGGAATTTGAATAAATTCTTTGTATCATGACCCAAACCGGAATGAACTAATAGCAAAAACAGCGCGATTCATACCACTATCATTCCAGGAACATGTTTCTTTATATGACACTGCTGAACAATCAATCAAAGGCTGAACAGAGACAACCACTTGATAAGGCTTCTCAAGATAGTAAAAAAACATGCATTGGTTCTTTTTGCGCAGCAAGTTATCTATATTATTCTTCTTTGTAGCACATACAATTTATATTAGGTTATCAATTAACAATACAATGTTTTGCGAACATAAAATTTAAACACAATGATTTTTACACCGGCTTAGGATGAATACACCTGCAATATAGGAAAGGTAACTCACTAGTAAACAGATTGTATTCAATGTTATTGTTCGGGTTAAATCCTTAAATAAGTTCTAGAACGACGACGGATTGCCAATGGGATTCTATATTAACATTAATAAGCCGATTCCAACGTTACATCGAAAACCTTTATATCACCTTGTATGTAGACCGTTTCAACGAGTTTGGGGTTTTCCCTAAATATGAATTCAGCAATTAATTTTTCATTCAAATAGACCTGATAGCTAACGTCAGTGCATGCAATGTTCAGGTGGAAAGCTTGCCCAGGCATAAAATCAGTCAGATTCTCTGAGCGCTCCTCGCGATCCCATTTTCCGTTGAGCCAGGAATTGCGACAGATCACGTGTTTTCCGCCGACATTTCCGAATCGTGGATTCAGGTGAAAGAGGATGCTCGGATGAGGCCACACGAAATGATTGCTTTGGAGATTAACGTAGAAGGAATGTGGTAGCAGTTTAATACGACCTCGTATATGTAAATTCTTTCCATTCGTAAATGGTTCTGCCAGACGACCAGTGAAAGGCATAATTTTATAGTTCGAGTCGGAGATTTCCGGAAAAGCAAAGTTTTCCTTTGAGATTTGCTTTATTTCTTCTAGAACGATGTCCGGATAGCAGTCAACGTAAAGCTGCTCGACGTTCACATCCTTGACATCCCCTTTGACTTCCAGAGCGCAAATTTTCTTATAAGGCAGTCTATGTTTGAACGTATTACAGTGTCGACCATTGACGCACATGAGAAATTCCTTATCGGTAACTAAAATTTGAACTTTGAATTTCTGTCCTCGGTGCAGATTGAATGACAATGGGGATGCCACTTCCTCCTTACCCCATACGCCTTTGACACGGCAATTTCGGACGATATAATTCTGCGGTAGCCTCGGATTGAAATGCAGTGCCAAATCCGAGTTCTTCAGCATCAAATTAATGGAAAACCGTTCGCAGGTCAGCAGTATACTCCCACTTATTATAAAGCTCAGTCCTGGTAAAACTTCGGCGATGTTTTCCATCGTGTAGACTACTTCCGTCGAAGAACTTTTGTCCAAACTAATCGACCCCGGAGAAGTCGGTGATTCATGGTAGGCAAAATCACAACTATCCAGCGATTCGGAAGACATTTTGCCAGTTTCCTCCTGTTCGTTGTCGCTACTATATTGGGCGATGTAGTACCGAAATAATTGATCCCGTCGTTTGCACTGTAAATAATCTCTACATTCCACTATGGAACCTCGGGAGCGTATGAATACCTCTGCAATCTCGAACAGGTCGGCACCAACACTGAGCAGCAGATAAGCGAATACTGCCATTTAGTAGTAATAGCCAGTGCTGCGAACAGATCCGTGGGGGAACATCTTGCTAGTACATGCGAATGTATGCACTGTTCATAATAATTATTACGTGCTAGGGGAGCTAATTTACTACCATTTATACAACGGATACTGCACACAATTGAAGTGAATAACATACAAGTGTAAATTGAAACGTGATGTGAATTCCACAATGTTATTATTGTCCGCTAGATACTGGGTCCACTGTGTTGTGTTCAATTAGAGAAATTTGGTCGTGTTAGTTTTGTGCATTTTTCTTTCGTCGCACTCCAAGTAAAACTAAACGTTTGTTTTGTTTTCGCTCTGTTGACGGCTGCATGGTCACTCGTCGTCAGTCAGTGTCAAGGTGACCAGAAGCCACCATAAAATCGTATATTCAGAACGCAGCCAAAAAATCTGTTCAAAATTAATGATGGTTTAAATTGGAAATACCCAGAGGGAGAGATGGGCGGAGAGAATGTTTTGAACCAAATGAACTGTCAAAATCTGAGCCAATCGAACATTCCAATTAGATTTTGGCCGAGGACTTCTTATTCTTAAACGCTGTCCAGACTGGAGAGTTATAACAACAATTAATACGAAACTAACGATTTTAAATTGGCTCACCACTTTAGTACCCTATTGGTCCCAAGCAAACGATTAACGTACCCTATTCTAGTCGAAATTCTAGTACTACGCAATGTTTGTTTTGATTCGCTATGAAAGTTTGACAGATAAAATGAGGGGTTATTGGTTTTTCCTATGTTTCGAGGGGTGAATCGATTAGCTTGGGACCGAAGAGAGTACCAGAGCTGAGCCAAAAAGTTGAGCACGTTATTTCGGGACCTTCTAGTCTTATAGTACGTTCAGACTACAGAGCTATAACATGTTATAGCGCTATCTTGATGGTGGTTTCTGTGTTGCAATTAGTTGACAACCGTTATAACATGTTATAACTCTCCAGTCTGGACAGCGTTCGTTCAGTACGTTCAGACTACAGAGTTATAACAACAATCAATACGAAACTAACGATTTTAAATTGGCTCACCACTTTAGTAGCCTATTGGTCCCAAGCAAACGATTAACGTACCCTATTCTATTTGAAATTCTATTACTACACTATGTTTGTTTTGATTCGCTATGAAAGTTTGACAGATAACATCAGGGGTGTGTGGATTCATGCAGAACATGCAGGGGTGAGTGAAATAGCTTGGGACTGCTTGGGACCGTTGTTCTGGTACTGAGTGAGCCAAAAATAATAATGATTTTCTTCGGGACCCAGTGGTCTTAGAGTTACCTCTATGGTTATAACATGTTATAGCGCTATCTGGATGGTGGTTTATGTGTTGCAATTATTTGACAACCGTTATAACATGTTATAACTCTCCAGTCTGGACAGCGTTTTAAACGAGAGTTATAACATGTTATAACGGTTGTCAAATAAGTGCAACACAGAAACCACCATCAAGATAGCGCTATAACATGTTATAACTCTGTAGTCTGAACGTACTATTAGAGTTACCTCTATGGTTATAACATGTTATAACCATAGAGGTAACTCTAAGGCTAATCGATTCACCCCTCGAAACATAGGAAAAACCAATAACCCCTCATTTTATCTGTCAAACTTTCATAGCGAATCAAAACAAACATTGCGTAGTACTAGAATTTCGACTAGAATAGGGTACGTTAATCGTTTGCTTGGGACCAATAGGCTACTAAAGTGGTGAGCCAATTTTAAATCGTTAGTTTCGTATTGATTGTTGTTATAACGGTTGTCAAATAATTGCAAGACTGAAACCACCATCAAGAAAGCGCTATAATATGTTATAACCATTTATAACTCTGTAGTCTGAACGTACTATTAGTAGAAAAAAAATATTTCACATATTTCGTTAAAAAAGGGGTCTGCTCATAAAATGTGTAAACCCATCAAACGTCAATAGAAGAGTATTTGTTACACATTTTTCAAGTACGGTTTTTACTGCAAAATATGTAAAAAGTAAGGTTGCAAATACTCATTTCAGCTAAAATAATGTTTTTTCGGAATAATAAAACCAACCAAATGGTATGATGGCATGTTTTACTTGTAACTTACAAGAAGAGGTTACAAAGTATGCGTTTAAAACATAAAACCTGTACATTTTGCTTTCTATGAGTCACAATCAGCGATTTTCTGATCGCTGAGTGAGTGAGTGAGTGTGTGAAAAATCGATGATTGTGACTCTCATGAAGTGAAATAAACAGGTTTAAAAATTCATTGCAACCTCTTTTTGTATCCTACTAATTCAAAATATGATCATGGCATCTAATTATTTCATAATTTAAAAAAAAAAACATTGTTTTAGCTAAAATGAGTTTTTGCAACCTTGGTAATCATTTATAGAATTTAAATATAATGGGGCCGTCTCAATGATAAAATAAAGATTGCTCGGATTCAATACTATTTTATTAATAAAATCACAGCCAGACACCGGTCAATGAAAAACTTAGTAGCTATGTAAATAATATAAATCACTTACCCTCTAGCTTGTCCATCGTTGCTCTGTACAGTTTGGACCGTAGTTCCTCCATTATTCATAAGGATAGTAGAGGTAAAAATACTGATACGTAGAGTAAAACCGAATGGCTGAATACGTACAACTGTGAAATCCAGCGGTCCCCTTGTACTGGTTGTTTCCTTAAGTTTGATGGTGAAACTGCATCTTAGATTTGACATGACAGGACAGCTGAGTCTACTAGAGCAATTTACACTACACATTTGTCTGTGCTGAACATCTATCAACGGGGTAAATGATCTCTTGGTGTCTGGTGATTACTCTGATGACCAAAAAACGCGGAATTAGTCCTTGCCAAAGTACAGCCTGGTAAACCACACCGGTATAGGAATTTTCGGTAATGCAACCATCCAGCAGAACCCGGAAAACTACCTTCTTGTCAGCAACTACCAGGCGATCGGATTCAACTTCATCTTCATATTTGGATATTTGGTGTTGGGTCCTGGCTAAAGTAACTGGCTTGGAATAGATGATATTTGAGTGTTAATAATCCTGCTGAATGTGAGCGTTTTAGTGGAATACCTGTATAAAGAGAGAGAAGGATTAATAATCTTAATGTGTTCAAAGTTGGCACTTGGTTTGCCTCGCCTCGCACCGCTCTTTTCACTGATTTGTTCGGACGTCATCTCCTCGGTCGCTTCAATACCAGTCATCTCTGGACCATTTCCTTCAACAGGTCTAAACTGCAACGAACCAAAGATTTATGTCTCCGAATTACCATAACTTTTATGTTAATGCTACTACGATGTATGAAAATCTCAGTTGATTGCTCACATACTGCCGCTAATATCGATACTGTACTATACTGAGCCTACACATCAGAAGTATTTGAGTCCAACCAATTTGCTACCGGGAAACGATCAAAAATTCAACGCAAATTCCGTCCCGCATACGCTCAGGTCTGAATACAACTTTATGCTCACCTTTTTGCATGTCGGCGGACTGCTGGCGAGCTGATTTACTACATAAGCAGCGTTGCCAGGTCATTTTCAGAAATATCTGGATCAGTTAAAATATAAAATCTGGAAAAATCTGGAATGCTCCAAAAAATCCTGTTTTTGATGTGCCGATCTCTCGTAAAAATCGGTCAGTTTGATTATCTGGAATTTATTAGCATTGCTAAAATCATCTAAAAGTTAAGAAAAGTATTGACATAGTGTACCCAAAAATTTTAAGCATCCATTACGTAGCATTTCAAAATTGATTTAAATTTTTGGTAAAATACTGCAGACAATATTTTTAGGATTCTAAAGCAGCAAAGAGTCAAGCAACTTTGATGGGATGATTTTTTTAATTAATAGACGATTTAGTCCCTACTATTTGATGCAGTACCAGAATATGTCTTGAAGATTTTATTAGTTCTTAATAATTCTAATATTACCCTGAGGTTGATCAGACTTGCAATTTAATTCTTGACATCATACAACTCACAACACCCGGTAGACCAGTAGGCAATTTTATTTAAAACTAAAATTTTCCTGGCTGAACAACAACTAACATCGTGGAACTCACACACAGTTTACCTAAACTACGGGTAGCTTCACATGACCATTGCAAAAAAATTTATGTTAAAGAATAATTTTATTATATAACTAAAATGAAAGTCTGAAAGCGTCATTTTTGAAGTTTCAGGATTCTGAAATGATTCTAAATTCTGAAATTTATATTTTCCTGGGTCCCAGAACATGAATTTTTTTGTTAGTCTGAATTTACTTGGAACTCTTCGATCCTTCGTCCTTTTTCAGAGTTCAATTCGAATTATCCTAGAATTCCATCATACTTCTTTTCTGGATTCTCCTAAACTAATCTTGATAATATCCAAACGTTCTCTGATTCCACAATTCCCTCAAACTGTTAATAATGTCGAAGAATTGGTTTAATTTTGTCGCAATTTTTCTCTATGAAATACCCTTAGAACATTCTTAATAATTTCCTTGATACACTCTTCAGAATGACCGTCACATTTTTCTCAGACTTATCCTTTGAACTGCTTTGTAGGTAATGTCAGAATTGTTTTGAAATCTTCTTCAGTATTTGCCCCTCAGTACTTTTTTCCAAAATCGCCTTGAAAATCTCTCAGAAATGGCAAGATTTCTTAAAATTTTATAAAAATGAATCTCCATAGAAAAGTTTGACAGAATTCCATTGAAATTATTCTCACGATTCGTATCAGCATTCTCCTTAAATTTCATCTTTAGAATTTTCTATGATTTCTCTTCCGAATTCTAACTATTTCCTTTCTTCACAAAATCTCCATTGCAATTTAAAAGACAATTGACACCGTCTTCAAACAGATGTTGCACAGACTGCACTATCACTCTTCACTGTAAACTATTTTCAGAATAACTTTAAAATTCTGAAATCTAGGGCAATTCAGAATTCTAAAGTATTTCAGAGTACTGCTAAGGGGCCTCCCTTAGCTCAGTCGGTAAAGGCGTAGCTACAAAGCAAGACCATGCTGGAGGTGACTGGGTTCGATTCCCGGTCCGGTCTAGGAATTTTTCGGGTTGAAAAATTTCTCGACTGCCTGGACATAGAGTATGATTGTACTTGCCACACAATTATACTAATGCAAAAATGGTAGCAGGCATCGAAAGCTCTCAATTAATAAGCTGAAGCGCATCTAGAACACTAAGTTGAGAGCACGCAATAAGCTAACATATGCCATAAGCAATAAGCTTGAAATGCGAAGAGGAAGGAAGAAAGGTAACTCAATATTGACAGGTACTTTAAAAAATGCTAAAAATTATCAGATACCTTTAAAATTCTCCTCAAAAATCTAATTAATTATCCTCAAAAATATTACGAACACACTTTAAAGTCCTGGTGGTTGTCTAGATTCAAAAGCCTTGCTAACTTTCTAAAGTTCGATTTATTGTTTTCAATCCTGAACAGTTTTCGATTTCTCTAAATTCTAAAATTAAGAAAATTTCTCTATATTGAAATTTTGATTTTTATAAATCCAGAATTAAAAAAAAAATAAACAAAAACTCAAAATAAAAAAAAATCCTCGCCCGATATTTTTAAAAGTTTTAAGATTTTTTTCAGCCAATAATCTTTAGAAAATGTCTCAACTTGCATGATTCTGCAACCCATTTCCAACATGTTGTTAAAATCCCTTGTTTGATATTGCAATAATGTAAAACGTTGATGGCCTTTAATAATTAAAGTAGTAAGTTTGACTTTTTATGTTTTGATTATAGGGTCCATCAATTGCAGTGATATTTTTAAAGCAACACATTTTAAAAATCTGGAAAAATCTGGATTATATTTTAAAAATCTGGAAATATACGTGATCTGTCTGTGTATCTGGCAAGACGATAGAAAATCTGGAAAATCCAGATAAATCTGGAACACTGGCAGAAAAGCTTCAGCATCTATAATCGAATGTTTACACTTGTGCTGATTCACATGGTGGTGAGACTGCTTTTTGCAAACGTGTGGTTATTACCATGATGTTAACAGTTGTTCGGTGCTGATTAACATTGGTACCTCAGTTTCTGGCACAAACTCGATCGGATTACACAAACTTTTGTTAATCAGGAATCAGGATTATGAACCAGCATACATATAAACAGGCCATAAGCATGTTATTTCATGAGCAACTGATATTCGTGCTGGTTGGTTGAGCTGGCAGCAGTGCTGAACCAGCACGTATGTAAACCGGGCATAAGCGTCATTAATCTAACGGGGTTTGTTGGTACAAACCGGCTACGAATCGAACACCAGGATTGTTACCCGACATTCTTGTAACATGCTCTACTAAGCGCATCCCTCTAGCTTTTACAACATTCTTAAAACTATGGGTTTGACATAGAGTTGCGTGAATTCGTTGCTTATTCTCATTATAAAGAGATCTATATAGAGCTAGAATAAGGGCCTAACAGGTTTTGTAAACAATAACTTCTCTCGATGATTTCATGGAATTCAGGACACGCCCACGTCAACCAAAATAACCATGTTCTAGATTTATCGTTGGTATTTTGCAATCAAATTCGTATTGGGAGCAGGGCTGGCAAATGTCATTTTCAATGAAAGATCTCACGCGATATTTACAGAGATACTTCTGTCACTATCATTGGATGAGAAAACGATGATAGAGATTTTCTTCAAAATCTCATCGAATTTTTCGTCATGACAGAACGTGACAGTGTTGTGATCATCGTAATTACTAGCTCATTTAATACTATTAAAGTTACTTGTACCGAGGAAATTTTAATAATATATCCACTCTACCGATTACATACAGTAGTTTGCTTAAATTCATCTAAATTAGTTAGAAATGTAGATGTCAAAACCGCATAAGAATTATTCTCATGAGTGCTTGATCATTGAAAAATGACAAGAAAGCTAATGATAGGTAGTTTCGTCTCGTGATAGTGAGAGAACCTGTTTTCTCATCGTGACATGATGGCCGTGATATTTACCAGCTCTGATTGGGAGACATGTGTAAACTTACAGACAACTAATTAACTTGTCATATTTCAGTCCATTGGCCATATTAGCGGTGGCCATATCAACCCAGCGGTAACAGCTGGCCTCCTTGCAGCCGGAAAGGTCAGCATTGTTCGAGCAATCCTGTACATTGTGATCCAATGCGCTGGAGCGGTCGCTGGAACTGCTTCTCTTAAGGTTGGTTTTTGATATCGCACATGCTGTATAACCTAAAATCACCTTTTAACACGATCAACCAATAGGCACTTTTACCGGAAACGTACCAAAATGGTCTTGGCAACACTGGTCTGAAGGAAAACGTTCAGGATATGCAGGGATTAGGAATTGAATTTTTCCTCGGTTTCATCCTGGTGCTGTGCGTCTTTGGCGTTTGCGACGAGAACAAACCCGACTCACGATTTGTGGCACCTTTGGCTATCGGTATGACGGTTACGCTGGGTCATCTCGGTGTCGTCGAGTACACCGGTTCTAGCATGAATCCAGCACGCTCGTTCGGAACAGCATTCATCGGCGACAACTGGGCTAATCACTGGGTAAGTGCTTGCGATAATTTGTAGAAATTTCAACAGTGGAAATGATGCTTTATATTTTTTTGCTACTTCAGATCTATTGGGCCGGTCCTATTATGGGTGGCGTATGTGCAGCTCTTTTGTATTGCCAAGTGTTTAAAGCCCCCAAGTCGGAGGAACTGTCCGCTACGGAACGTTATCGCGTGATAGCCGACGAAAAAGAGGTACGTGAACCGTTGAGATAATGCAGAGATTTAAAAGCTTTACTTTATTTCTAAAATACAACATATACCTAGGCTTACAATACCCACCTTAAGCTGAAGTACATTGACGAAGATGCGTAAAACAGGTATTCAAATGCCTAAAAAAAATACTGGAAATAGTCCAGTGCACTGTTCAATGTCATTAGCTAACATGTTTGCTAACAATAACAACTCAACACGTCACCAACAATCTACTGAGCTGATACATATATTAATCGTTGAATTTGTCTATTTCCAGCTGAAGCGTTTGGATGGAAAACACGATATGGCCTAACCTGTGCGCATTGGAACGTCTGAAATTATTTACGTAGTTCTAGAAATATTCATTCATAGAATATTCGCCGAAAAAGCGTATTAACGTATTTTTACAATCTGATAACAGCCAAAATAAACAGTGAGTTAAGCGGTCAGCTTAAGAAGTATTTATAAGGAAACAAAAAGTGCCACGAATAAATAAAATTATTGCGAATAATTTTACGAATCAAGTATAGAAGAATATTGAGTTTATTAAGTATATCTTATTTTATTTTTGTGATTTGGTTAAATTTTTCTATATGTAGCATAACTAGGATCGATTCGAAAAATGTCATTAAGCATCACAACATCCTTGATATAATATACTCTGGTAATTAAACGATCATTAATGAATTGCCAGCAAGAAGTCCTGCAAGTTAATGTGAAAGTTGATAGAATCCACAAATGGCCGCTGTTTTAGCCCGTTATCTAAAGAAGGGAATATTTTGGGGAAGGAAAATTTCTTCTTTCGTCTACATATATCAAAAGCAGATGAAAACTTTTGAATTGATCAAGGGATTGCAGGAGAGCAAGGAATTTACCATTTTGTGGCCTGTAAGATTACATTGTTTTGTGGGGTGCATCGATTAGCTTGGGACCGAAGAAGGTACCAGAGCTGAGCAAAAAAGTTGAGCACGTTTCTTCGGGACCTTCTGGTCTTAGAGTTACCACTATGCTAACACCCTCTATCATCCACATCATTATCATTGTCATATTTGCTCATTTTTCTATGCGTTACTTCCACCTTCGCTCGAGTGCAGCGCTGCTATATCTGTCGCTTGGATTCTGGCAGAGTTGCCAGTCTTCTTGATTTGATGTCTTTGCTCAAAGCTAAGATTTAGCCTAAGAATGTGCGAGAATCAGAAGTTATAGACCAACAAAGATCAAATGCTTGTATTTTTTAAATTTACATTCTTTTTTTTTATTTTTTAACAGTATTTTTTCAAAAAAAAAATCAAAAACCGTTATGTATTTGGAAAGCTTATTTAATTACCTTTCTAACGATACTAAATGACCTTGTATTTTCTTTGCTTATAATTGTAATTGTAATTGTTCAGTGTATAGGCTGTGTCAAACACTAAGTTGGCTTATCTAGGGACTAACCCCCTAGTCTATACACCTATTGTCCTTCCCGTTGCACTCATCAGCTTGTGCGATACTCTAGACACACATGGGTGATCGTATCCGGGTCCTCCCCTGGGTAGGCTCGTGTCCGTCCATGTTCTGGTACATTAACTTATATCTATGCATGGTAATTATACTTTACAACTCAGCTTTTGATTATAAATGTCGATAATGCTGAACCTATATGAAGGTTAGTGATTATTATTATCAATTCTTATCATACTTACCAGTTCCGTCCAGTATAAATTGGCTGTCTCCAACCGGCGTGATCCTTTCTTACTGCTTACTCTCTTCTTTTCTTGTTCACGCTTTCTCACTATTTTTCCTTTCTATTGAGCATCTGGCTGTGTTCCCATTTGTTCTCAGGCAGGTAATATTGGTACATGAGAGGAATAAAGAAATAGAACAAGTGTGAGCCGCATGCGTTGGTTAGTCGTCACAACACCATAGTTCCCTATTTTATTTGTCCCTATTCAGCTCTCAGATCGCCCCTCCCTCCAAACTATTGTGGATGAGAAAAAGAACCCATATTTGGTAACCTCTAGCGAGCTGCAATGCATAAGATATGAATAACAAACTAATCTAAAACGGGACTCAAACATATAACATTTTCTAAGACTGATCATGATTAATATAATGTAGTATGAATAATGAGAATTGTATGAAGAAAAGACGATCCCAAAAGAAAGTCCCCTAGCAATAACTATTACTCTGTGCTAATATGAGTTATTTCAAAATGGGAATCCATACTCAGAAACTATACCCAACCTCAACAAACTGTTCCGAAATCAGAACAGCTAAACTACGCGGTAAGATTTTGGCATTTCTATTTGATTGTATAAAGCTACTTTATATCGAGCTCTTTTCAATAATTTCAACATGTGAATAGTGCAGAACAAGTTTAAAATTGTTCTAGAGCCAAATTGGTTTTGAAGGAAGGTCAAACTTCAACCGAACAGCTCAGCCGCTCTGAACCCTATGAAAATTATGCTTTCCCAATATGGTACATTCTCTCGCTATAAACCTGTCATTTCTAGCCTGTCTGAACTATTTAATAAATGGAAACCATAACATGGGTTTACGCTCCCCCTAAGTGGGCCCTCCGCATCCTATCTCTGTCTTATCTGAAATACCAAATGCCAATGGTTTGAATGTATCAATATATAAATTGAAAATGACGTTCAATCAAATAAACCCATACCCAACTCATTTGGCCAGGCGTCGGAATCGTCCAGTGGGCAGTGCGCTCTACACTCCAAGTTCCCTTTCTTTCAAATTCGCCCCAAATTTGATATTTTACCCCTTTGAGTGTTGATTAATCACAATGAAACATTGTGACAGAGCACGGACTTGAGGTTTATTAAATAATCTAGGTCCTATTTAGGATTATATCTGAAAAATCCAAATCTGGCCAACGCCCACCAGTTTATTTGCTAATAATTGTCCAAAATTAATTTGCGTAAGAGCATGTTTTCACTATTTTTACTTTGACTTTGACAATCAATATCTCACGGACTGCAACTGTTAGAGGGTTGACATTTTTGGTTTCTTTTGTTGTGTTTACTATTGAGAGGAAACTTTGAGAAAAGGATCGGTGAGAGTCGGTTTTTCAAGTTTTGTCCGCCAGAAATCCTATACTGCAGCCGAGTTATTAAAAAAACAACCATGTCACCACAACTAAATCATAGATTTCAATAATTACCTATTTGGACATATTTGATTTTGATTTTGCGAAACAGAAGGGGGTTATATGAAGGCCAAATCTCAAGTCTCAAGACCACATCCCAGAACGTGAGTGGATCATGGTGATCACGTCAAACTATAATGTCTAAAATGAACAACATGCCCCAAACAACGTCTAGAACGGCTCCCATACATTCTCCAAGCTGAATCGTGAGTCCCCCTTTTCCCATAACATTGCATGCCAAATAATAACCCAATGCAAGCAGGTCAATTGAATATGCCTAAATATATTAGTTGCAATGATGTTAGTACAATATACTAATTGAATAAAATTTATATTTACCTATAATAATGATCGAGATTGGTGTAAAGTAAAGGAAGTTGTTAGTTGATTTTACCATCACAGAGTTTGACAATAGCGCGATGGTATATTATTATGATACTAATTAGACGAATCCTGGGAAAGCCTCATTATCGTCGTTAGAGAAACCGGGTTGATGTTCAGTTGATTATCGCTACTTGAATCACTGAGGCTAGGCATTAACATTTACTTGACTTTTAACTCCTAGAGTTTTTTCGTCACGGGTGTCTCCGTGAGAGCACTGAGAGTATCTTCCGAGTCTTCGTATTCTAGTTCCACCATTTCAGTGAACAATCTTGTCGTGGCTGTTTTAAACTCGCTTCAGTTATTAGACATCTCTTGCCAATAATCCGCCGATCGACCACTTCCTTCTACATCGTGCCTTGCGTTGGTTTTCCATGTGAAGCATGGTCTTCCCATTTTCTTCTTCTCCGGGATCCCACACTTAAGGGCTTTCCTGATAATCTGTTATGATGGTTTTGTTTTTTTATGAAAATAAAATGATCTTCTATCCCTCTATCATGGCTATAAAGAAAAGAAAATCACCACTCGATCAAGCCTAATTCAATGGTAGTACCTGTGTGATGCCGCATTCCAAAAGTTTTGAACCGTATATATAAATAAAAAAATATATATGTATAATTTTTGCAGCCATTAGACTCAATTATTTAGAAAAACATAATTCTAAACTACACAATTATTAAATTTTGGCTAGTAGTTAAATTCCAACAAACTTTTGGTCCGCTACATCACAACTGGCATCACTAGTGTGCATCTTTCAAAATGCAAAGATACAGACAAGCCCTGGGACCTGGTTGCCGTTAAGCAATTCTCAATGTTAACAATGCCCAAGGAATAATTACATATTTGGACACATATCAACTTGAACAACCCTGAACCCATAATGTCATCCAATTGAACAAGTCTTAAACAATACTGTGGAATATTTATTACCTGGTGCTTTATACACTTTTCAGCTCGTCATAAACGAATAGTTTTGCAAATTATAAGCAAATATTACTTACCACATGCGGGGGACGGTGTACCTCTCATCCCCACATAAACACATACCTATTGTTTCTTAGCTTTAGTTTGCTTCAGAATCATCGTGTCCCCCTGCATTTCGATCTTTCCGTCACGGGCCATTGCGGCAACTTCGGCCTTCGTCATTACTACCTTCTGAACCTTCACCATTTTATCACCGATCTTCATTTCGAATGTTTTGCCCTTTTTAGCTGATCCAGGTATGGTGGCACCCGGTTTGAGAACTGCTTTTGCAACTGGCTTTGTCGATGACCCGGAGGCTGCAGGAGTTTTGGGTTCTACGGCCATCTTTTTGGTGGGGGATGGTGACTTCGATGGCTCCGCTGGTCGCTTTGCTGCGATTCTGGGTGATGATTTCGTAGGCTGTGGTTTCACAGGGTTATTCTTAGCTGTAGAAACATCGGAAGTACGTTGCGGAAGTTGCACATTAGCAGGTGACTTTTTTTGTACTGCAACTGATTTTGGAGCCATGGTTGGAGGCTTTGGAGGAGTAGATCCATTAGGTGATCCCTTAGGTGAAGGTTCTGTTTTTTTCTCTACGGGACTGGGAGTAGGAGTAGTTGCAGCAGGTCTTCTAACTACCACACCTTTGGGTAGATTTTTCAGAACATCTCCGACCGTTTTCGAGCTGGATGATGTCACGGGAATTTGCGCTTTTTTGAAGAAAGCGTCTAACTTTTGCTGTGTAACTGATTTTTGTGCATCTACTGCTGGAGATGCTTTTGGAGTTGCTGGTTTCGAAACTGGTGGTTTTTGTGCTGGCACTGCTGTCGATTTACTTTTGTTCATAGGTTCAAGTTTTTCATTTTTAATGAGAACCTCTTTTGGTTGTTCCTCAGCTTCTTCCTCTTGCAGCTCTTCGTCGTCATAATAGCACTCTTCGTCAAGTTGACCATCTAATGTGGCAGAACGAAACGGAAAGTCAATTAGTCAATTACGAAACAATTTCATATTAAGTACCTTCATTTTCCTCCTCGTTGCATTCCTCCTGAACTTGTAATCGAGTCTTCTCTACGGTAATTTCGGTTTTGATCACTTTACCCCGTTCTTTTTGCACAAACTTCTTCTCTTTCTCCTTTCCGTCGACAAACGTCGTTATCAGCTGGCTTCCGTCCTTGTTGATAGAGATTTCCTCGATTATGAATTGCTGGGACGATTCTGAATCGTCCGTTGAGTTATTAGCTGTTTCTGTACGGTCCATGGCCAACACGGACAGGTGTTCCTTCTGACAGTGAGTGTCCAGTTTTTGTTCGGTAGTAAAAAGCAAATCACAGTAATCGCACGCATACTGAATACCCTCCGAGTGCTCCTTGATGTGTTCCGTAACTTGTTCCAACGTTTCGAAGTGCTCACGACACAACGGACACGTTAAACTTTTGGTGGCATGCTCCGCAGAATGGTAGATTAGGTCGTCTTGGTTGTCGAATACGCTCGTGCAGTCATTACACTTGTAAGCACCCTGTCCTCCCTGGTGCGAGCGGACGTGCCGGGTGAGGTGGTGACTCAGCATGAATGATCTGCATGGGAAGAGACACATTGTCAGTAAAAGAGAAGGGTCCAATTCAGGTACGTAGCTATCTTAGGGTTGTGGGCGGTTTAAAGAAGTCAGCAGACATTTAAGGAAAATTGAGGCACATTTTACTTAGTCGGCCGCGCAGGGCCCTTCTCCTTCAAGAGCGCCCATATTTTTTTTATTCAAATACTCACCTCGAGCACATGCGACACGGATAGGGACGACTTCCTGCGTGCGCTGTCAGATGGCGTGCCAATTTTCCGGCCGTGGCAAAAGTCAAGTCGCAATGCTCGCAGGGGAACGGAAGGTTTGTTTCATGGGTAACCTCATGCCGTTCGAGTCCCTGCTTGTAGGCAAAGCTTTTCGGACATTTCTGACATTGGAAAGGCCGTCTCTTCTGATGGAACTGGCAGTGTTTCTGCAAATCCTCGTTCGACAGGAACGTTCTCTCGCAGTACATGCACAAGTATTTCGGCATGTCTTTGTGAACCTGCAGGAAAAACAAATCGTATTTTAATTTACCGCAAGTAACGTCAAAAAATTAATTGACAAACCTTCTGATGACGGGTCAAAAGAGTGGATCTTGAAAATGCAGCTTTACAAATAATGCAAACATATGGCCGCTCACCCGTGTGCGTGAGATTGTGTTTAGCAAGGTCATATTTGCTGAAGAACCGTCTGTCACACAGCTCACAAGGGTAGTTGCGTTCCCGGTTGTGATTTTTCATATGAATATCCAAAAGCTGTCGTAACGGAAATGACCGCTCACACTCGGGGCAAGGGAATACGTGAGTCTCAACCGGTGGGGCATTTTTAATGGGGTCCACCACTTCCTGATCCAGAGATTCTATGCAAACGATCTCCAAAGTTCCATCTCCGGTTTGTACAAAATGTTCCTCCGTTTTGTTAGATGGTGGCCTCAGGCTATTCAAAATGACCGGTTTCTTGCTCACGGCTCCCAGGCTACCGTTTATCACCTTCACTGGACATTGTTTCTCAGGACGCCTTCCACTCGCACAAGGTCGATTTGTTGTTAAAATAGCTTCATCCTTTTTGGAAGGTGACGAACTTTTCATGATAAAATTGGTTTTGTTGATCGATTTACCTTGCTTGATCTGTTTCAGATCTTCAATGCTCAGCTTAACAATTTTCGGTTTAACATCTTCTTCGACTGGTTCGATTTGCAAGTGCGCAACAGAGCTATCCGGGATAATGAAGTCCTCAGTAGGTTCCGTCACGACACTAGGTGTCACCGGCGGAGCTTTGACAGGGGATGTACCTTTCTTGATAATTTTAACATCGTGAATTTGAATTACATTTTGTTTTGGCTTGGCACCAATCGAGGCAGAAGGTGCCTTTTGTTGTACAGGGAGTTGACGAACCGGCGGTTTTGAAGGGGGTATAAGAGTGACGCACTGAAATTATACAGATTCATTGTTATACTGTTACGATGGTTAGCTCTTCGTGTTACAGATGCTTATCATGCTTTTTTTTCTGAACCTGATTAATGTTCTACGAATGATATAACTAGAACAATTTAGAGTTTTCTTGTTGAGTGTTTAAAGCTATTTGGCATTTGATGCATTTGGAAAAATATGTTAGAATTGTTTTTATTTTTCACTTTTTAATAAGCGCATCCAGTAGATTAAAGGTTACTCTTATTACTGAGTTTCATTATTATATTATCGTACAGTTTATTACACCACATAATGTTTCTGAGGTAAAATGAAACGTGATTTATTGGAAATAAGATTTACCTTTCTAATTCCTTAAATGCCAATGTTCTGGAAACCAATACTAATTAACTAGGTCTTTCTGCCAATTAAATGATTTTCTCAGTTTTGTATAATAGGTCCTCCGATGCACGAATGTAATCATTCGTTAAATGTGAATCATTCACATACCAACTTGGTATGTTGTTTCGTCCAGTGACCGTTCATATGATATATGAGCACCGACAAAATATGAGTATACTCATTACCGGTTCACATAGGAAGTTGTAGAATGTTCAAGGAACCGCATACGAATGCCAGCATTCCCAGACTTACCTTAAACAGATTGACAGGAACCTGCAGCTTCTCAGGCCATACCCCAGTAATTGGATAGGTCTTAAGTAACGTATCGGCTTTCTTGCACATCTGTTTGAACCGATAGGAATGATCCATGAAATGGCGACAATTATCGCAAATAGTGCACGGCATACCATCTTCCTTATACACCTACAAACAGAAATAAAATATCAATGCAAAATTATAAGTATTATTATTTCACTGAGAAAACATCCATCGACGAATATAACGCTTTTCATGGAAACGAACCATTCGATAGGCCAACAACAACCCTACAGCAAAAACAAATGAATGGACAGTGCGGAGAGATGAATGAAATACCGCCATCTTGGACTCTATTGCATTCAGCAGCGAGCCGAATCAACCAGCCCAGCGGAGACTCCTGCCCGCGACGGAAGATCTAGTGAGGCCTCACAATAAATACATATTCGGTGATTCAACGCCTCAATAGATCCAAACCCGCCACCACATCTTCGGATTTATTCGTTCTGATATCGATTCTATCGATTCAAACCTACCTCAATGGCAACGCAAGCCATGATCTGCAGTGTGAGAGGCGACGTCTTGGTCTTGTTGCCACTGGCTTCCGCTTGATTGCTGACGAAGATATCGCTCAACGGTTCTTCCTGGGTCAGACAAAACCGACATATTCTTTTGAACTTTAACTCCTCAGACAGTTGCTCTTCGCTGTTGTCCATGTTTTGCAGTTAATTGATTGAAATTTTATTCACTTTCTTTCCGTCGACTCCTTTGCAGGCACGCAAAATGCTTCTGGATATTTTTCGTTCTCCGAAACAACTGAAGTGCCGACAGCAACCGTGATTGCCAATTATAACAATTTGGCGCTGCTGTTTGAGCTAAAAGTTCACGGCCGTTGAAACTAACTCATATTTGAAAATTAATATATTAACTCCCTCCAATTCGATCAAAATGTACACGGCCATTGAAACTCCCCATACGGTCACTGTATGTACACGACCATTGAAGCTAACTCATATTTGAGTTGCGTTCACTCAAATTAGCAAACTGAATACTGATTAAAATTTTACTCAAATATAGGGGAAAAGTTGGCTTCGGCAATACCTTAACCTATTATCGTCAGGGGGGTAAACAACGTCCTTGAGAGCTCAATTTTGGCATGTGGATACATTGTGTTTCAGAGCAACTATTGGCCAAATTTGAGTGCTCTAGGACTTTGTTTACCCCCTGACGATAATAGGTTAAGGTATTGCCGAAGCCAACTTTTCCCCTATCACATTTATTTACTTATAAACATTTTCTCAGTCGTTGTAATTGAAGTTGCTCCAACTGGTATTATCCTCGGATTAAATCCCGATCAAGATTGTCCGGCTGCTTTGATGTCCACATCAGAGTTAATCAAAACGATTCAAACACTTTGCAGATCATCTAAACAGGGACGTTATTAAAAGGTAATCCAAGTTTACCGCATACCCTGCTGTGGTAGAACCTTTTATCAGGTCTATGAGTGACCTACACTGAAAACTAAAATAACTCAGAGGCGAGCCACTTTTACTCATTCGAATGCAGAAATTTCTAGAAACGAGAGTGAGTAGTGAGGGAGATTCAATGGTCGTGTAACTAGCCGTATCTGGCTGCGTCCATTTCATTGGATGATAAAGCGCACAGGGTGGCCAGACCTACCGATTTATCGGTAGTCCTACCGATTTTCGGGGTGCCTACCGATTCACAGACGAAAGGTTCAAAACCTCCGATATTTCACTTTTCCTACCGAGAATCACAGATTTTTAGATTATAAATAGAAAAATTGATTTCGACACAGTTAAATCAGAAGATCTGAAGGACAGTGTATTGTTCTGGAGCACAGAGTATTCCCCCCCCCCCCCCCCCCCCGCTCATAAAAGTGTCAATTATCGGGAAATCCTTCTTAAGTCGACCTACCGATAACTACCGATAAAAGTTTTGAGAAGCTACCGATAATGAAAAAAATAATCTGGCCACTCTGAAAGCGCACAATGAAATAAACATAAACAAAACAACGTGCGTTTTTTGTCGAAAGTTGTGATGTGCTAGTTGCATTGATTTTGATCCTTTAATACAGTTTACAATAAATAGTAAGCTTCAATCAAGCTAATGATGAATAGCGATAATCTTAGTAGTGTAAACGAAACATACTTTGGTAGCTATGAAGATCTGGAGGTAAGTACTATAAATCTTGCGTGCACAGCTCAACATCTGGCTATGGTACAAAGAGGTACAAAACATTATTAAGGTATATAATTCCATGTTCTGACGATCTGGAGGAGCTAAAAAACAAGTCTTGATATACCAAAACATTCAATTAGATTTCTTTATTGACGCGACTTCCAGTCGACTAGACCAGCAGGAGAAAATAAAAACGTTAATATTATTATTATCGTTACAGCTGAAAACTGGAAAAAAAAACCACTAACAATCGATTTTTCTCGTTCTATACGTTATACACACGGTAACCGCAAAAAAACCAATAATGATTATAAAAGACTCCTTATATACCTTAATAGAATTCCACACATTTTTATTGACGAATTTCCATGTAAAATTCCACATGATTTTCATATGACCACACATAAACACAACAGAATAACATTGCATTAGGTCCTAAGTAACATTGACAGATTCTCTTCGTCGACTTTTTCTTTGCATACCCACGGCCATGTAAAGACATTCCCACTTATTTTCAGCTTACAGATCGATAAAAGAAGCTTTTAAGTAGCATTTAATACGTCAACCAGATCAAGAAACGGTTATGTGCTCAAGTTATAAACGGAAGAGAAAGTCGATGAAGAGAATCGATCAATGGTACTTAGGACCTAATGCAATGTTCAGCTTGAATTCACCCAGAAGCACACATGAAATTTATGAGTCAAATGAATAGTATGTGTGGTTACACATGGCTTTTATGTGTACACATAATTAATAGCGAATTCGTTTATTATCGGGGTTGGAACCAGTTCCAACCCAGTGCGAAACCGAACTTTTTGTCAGTGCGAACCTCAACCTGAGCTAGGTTTTAAAAACAAACGAGCAAACTGACGTTTGTCAGAAAACAAGCATGGTGAGCGTGATTACCTCTCACCCCAGCAGGCCTGGGTTCAATCCCAGTCGGCGCCGCCGGGATGTTCTGAGGCATAACATCTCTGATCACGCCTTCCTTCGGAAGGGAAGTAAAGCCGTTGGTCCCCGGTTCATGAGTTGATGGGTCGATAGGTAGGGTCCAGGTGTGGGAGCTGCCTTCCTGGCACGTCGGTAGCATTGGTGCTCAGCACGGAAAACAAGATCGACGGAAAAAACAAACCAAAGGAAAAAAAAAAAAAGAAAACAAGCAGACCCAAACTTGATACCCGATCCAGGTTGGAACTGAATAATAAACGAATTCGCTATAAGTATGTGTCCGACACATAGATATCATTTGTTGATCACATTGCAAAAAATCATGTGTGGAACCCTAATAAAAATGTTATGGTTAATTTGCTTAACGACGTGTTCTGGGTATCATCCAAACCATTTGTGGAATAGTTCAATCATTTGGGTTATCGTTCGTTTATGGTAATTTTTTATTAGGGAACACATAAAAACAATATTTGAAATTTTATCAGTTTAGTTTTTGGAGAAAAAAAAACAATATTCTAACACTATTGATTAATTGATCTTCGGCGGTTAATGAATGGCACCAAGAAATGTGCAAAATATTGCGATGCAATCAATTAATTATATTATTTGAGTAGTAGCTATACTGAAGATCCGAGAGATGTCGCCCCTTCAGTGGTAGGAAAATCATTTTTGCAGTATGGAGAATATCAGAAAATAAACGAGTGTTTACTTTATCACCATAGTAATGTACTCGTGCAATTTTTGTGCACCTAAAACTGCCCATAAAGACAGTAATGAATAAAAACTGAAAATTTCCATGCATTTCCAAATGGTTTCCTACCATTCCCATACATTCGAAGTGACTGGCCCTCTGGATGTGGATGATCTCAAAAACAACAAAACATGATTAATTATTATTTTGCACGTAAATCGAATCAAAAATACAAGTCATTTGAAATGCTAGCTTCTATCAAGTGTTGCAAGATAATTTAGGAACAAATCCCTGCTGCCGAATTGTATTTTGTTTTCTCCGCCTATCTCTCCCTCTGAGTATTTCTAGTCATTATTGGGTATTTTGCGGTTACCGTGCATAGTGTCGGAAATAGTGTGCTGCAAAGGGCCACCAACATTAGATCCGTTTGCGTTGCGTTGACGTCAATTTCACAGTTAGACAATAGATTTAGCTGTCACTTTGCCGCAACGCGTCCAATCCGGATCTAATGTGCGTGGGCCTTAATCGCACAATGATGCGATATTGACCAATAGACGAGTGCACGGATGGATTTGAATTCACTCATTCGACAAAAAGTGACACAACAGCGGGGCCCTGTTTACTAAAAATGAACACATAAATAATACTCACGTAACATTTCAGTGCTAACATTTGAAAACGGCGCAAAAGCCATTTGTAAACAAATGGTTTGTGGGCCCTTTACTCGCTACCCGAAGAACGCCCACGCAAACCAACAGCATCGTCAGGAAGGGGAAAATTTCCCCTACCCGATGTTGCTGTTGTGTCGCGTGGGTGTACTTCAAGTAGTGAGTAAAGGGCCCACAAACCATTTGTTTACAAATGGCTTTTGTGCCGTTTTCAAATGTTAGCACTGATTTGAAACCGGCCTATCAACTTTCATACACAAAACTTGTTAAGCCTTTTTCGCGCAAACCGAATACGCCCACGCAAACTAATAACACCATCGGGTAGGGGAAATTATCCCCTTCCCGATAGTGCTCTTGGTTTGCGTGGACGTACTTTGGTTCTCGTGGAAAGGACCTAGCCAATTATTTACAAAAGTTGATAGGCCCTTTTCAAATGTTACGCGAGCATTATTCATGTGTTCATTTTTAGTAAACAGGGCACCGCTGTTGTGTCAATTTTTTTTTCAGTAGATGAACAAAAATTCACCCGTGCACTCGTCTATTAGGTTTTGCACCGTCGGGGTTAACCTCAATCTAATGACAGTTTAGTGGTACTGTTTACGTGGACTTAGCCGATTTTTACTTGGGTGGATTTTCTCGATAATTTTTCAGACTGCAGTGAGATGTAAACCACATTTCTGCAATGTTCACGAGCAACATCCTTGCAATGCGCTGTTCCTCGACAATTTTCAAGTTAAAATTCGTAAATTTTAGATTTTTTTTTTCGAAAAAACGACACACACTTTTAACCACGAGTTAAATTTAACTCGGCAAATGGTTCACAGCCTAAGTGCTTGTAAACAGTACCACTGAACTGTCAAAAAGGTTCAGTCGATTAACACTGAGTTCATTTGTGACGTCACGCTGCAGAACCTAATGCACGGAATGAACTCACGAAAAAAAATTGACTTTTGAGCGGTGTCGTGTTTACTAAAAATGAACACAATAATCATAATATAATGCTCGCGTAACTTTAGAAAAGATCCTATCAACTTTCATAAACAACTTGTTGGGCCCTTTCCTCGCGAACCGAAGAACACCCACCCAAACCAAAACACTATCGGGAAGGGGAGAACTCACCCTACCCGATGGTGTTGTTGGTTTCTATGGGCGTACTTCGGTTCGCTCGAAAAATGCCTAACAAGTTTTGTGTACATAAGTTGTTAGGCCATTTTTAAATAATACGAGAGTATTATTCATGTGTTCTTTTAGTAAACACGGCACCGCTCAAACGTCAAATTTGTTCATGCAGTTCATTGCGTGCATTGATTAATAAGGCTGTCCACGAGACAGTTGCGATCAGCTGACTTTTTTGTTTACCAAGAACTTTTGACAGATCACAGTAGAACTCACAGTTCACTCTCATGAATTTCTGCTTTGTTAATGTTTACATTCAGCACCTTTAACACCAGATCACTCACACACTCTTGATTTCTAGCTGTCAGTTCCACTGAGAAACGTCTCTTGGATCACCTTATAATCAGGTGGCTGGCAACCAATCCTTTACGTTTGAAAGTAGGCAACATCACGAGGTCCTTCTTCTTCTTTCCTTTATTTAACGTCGGTCTCTGTTCCGCAATCTAGTGTCAATCACCAACGGATATCGATTGCTATCCATAAACGGCAATCGAATGTGCAGGAAGGCAGCTTCCACACCTGCGTAGGGTATCGCACCCATTCAAACACACATGGGCCGGGTCCAACGGCTTTACTTCCCTTCCGAAGGACGACGTGACCAGAGATTTTTATGCGTCAGAAAAATCCCACCGACCTCGGGTGGGATTAAACCCAGATCCATTGGGGTGTGAGAAAGCAGTCACGCTTACTACTACACCACAGGCGCCGGCCGGGCCTTACTTAAATACGGCCCGCCTGACGTATACATGGTGGAAAGAGATTTATAAGCAGAAAGACAAGAGCAGATGATAGCATCAAAAACATGGCCGCCAGTCAGGCCCCTGGCTATAATGCACTCTGCTTCCGACACGATGTACAACGTACCGTGCCAACGGTGCCAACACCATATTTGACTAAAGCCCTGCAGTAAAAGTATGGACGTCTGTCAAAAGTTGTTCCAATCGAACCATCAAAATGCACCGCTTTGCTCGATTGGAACAGCTTTTTTCAGTTTTGTGGTGACAATCTTCCATACTTTAACCAAAGATGAATACTAGACTGATGCAAATTTTGACATTTTCGCTCCACAGTGCTCATACGGTTCCAAATCGGGTCCTGATTAGTCTCCCAAAATTTGAACTCAATTGAAAAGAAACTGACTTGGCACAAACCATTTGAAGTTTATATGGAAATTACTATGGGAAATCCAAACTTTTTGTTCATTGTCTTCTTACCTTTTCCATATTGCACTGTTCAAAAATTCAAAAGCTATACTTATGGAAAATTTTCTCAGCTTCAACTTAGCAGAATATAGTTGTTGAGCCAAACGTCAAATAAAATAGTTATTAATTGTTTAAGAGATTGATATTCTTATGGCATGATCAAGCAGCTGTTTTGTGAGCAACACTGTATCTTGCAGTGTGACATAGTAGCCATGATTTTTGTGCTCTATTCCAAGCGCCAGAAACACCAATGTTGCCTGCTGAACAGTTGATTGAGCATAATCGTAAGACATTAGTGGCTTGAATTATTGATAACTTTTGATGCTTACATTATATTGAAAAGTAGTTAAAGACAAAGTTTTAGCTGAGAAAATTTTCTACGAGTTCAGTTATCATTTTTTAAAGCAGAGCGATATTGTAAATTGTTAGATGGATATGAACAAAACATTTGGTTTTCCTATAGAAATTTCCATATAAACTTCAAATGGTTTGTGCCAAGTCAGTTTCTTATCGAATGAGTTCAAATTTTGGGAGACTAATCATGACCCGATTTGGAACCGTTTGAGCACTGTGGAGCGAAAATGTCAAAATTTGCATCAGTCTAATGAATACTAAGATGAAACTGTCGGAAGAAAAACTTTCGATTTCAGTGTCCTCTTTCACGGTCCCTTTCATCCAATGAATATCCCCCGTATGCAAGTTAATTTTGTGGTTTGGATGCCCCCTCGGTAGAGATGAAATTTTGCGCATTTTTTTATCAAAACACAATCACACCAGAATCAGAGATGTCCCATTTTTTAATTACTCGATTAACAAGCCAGTTTTCCACCAATGAGAGTGCAGCACATGTTTGAAACAATCGGTGATGATCCTCTGGAGATGTTAATGCTTATATCGGCATGATATAACCGATTACAAATATTTTATTTTTCGGTTCCTTAATCGATTAATCGATTATTCGAATGAAAATCGGTTATCACTAGATGAGTGTGAAACGTCATTTCAAATATAAGGACCGTACATAAATAATGATACAATTTGAAAGGGACCGGGATAATCACAAATTACGTCCCCACGGTAACTGAAATAAACACGAGTGTTCACCGGTTGCTTTAACTAGAGCGCTTTATTTTTTTTTCCTTGATTTGTTTTCCGTGCTGAGCACCAATGCTACCGACGCCAGGAATGCAGTTCCCACACCTGGACCCTACCTATCGACCCATCAACTCATGAACCGGAGACCAACGGCTTTACTTCCCTGTGATCAGAGATGTTATGCCTCAGAACATTCCGGCGGCGCCGACTGGGATTGAACCCAGGCCTGCTGGCGAGGGCTTCATATTTGACGCGTTCCTAATGATGACGCACTCGTCTATTTTTGATCGCATCTCGATTTTGACAAGATATTTTTTAAAACTTTGCAACTAATATTTTCAGAAGTAACATTTCAAAAATAATGATTGAAAATAGTCGAACATTATTGAGTGCGTTGATTTAGGAACCGCTTCGAATATGGTGCCTCCACGGCATAGAACGAGAGTAAAATCGAATTTCGCTAGTGGGTTTTTCCAGTTTTCAGCTGTAACGATAATATATATATTTTTTTTTCATAATAACCAAAGACTCTCAATTAACAAGCTGATCAACTTATCGATGCTTCGAACAATCCAGTGGATACACCCTTCTGATGCACTATCTAGTGGCTTCAAAGAGACACTGTATACGATACACAAACACACGCAAACGCTTATATAAGTGTATGTGCGTTTATTTTGTGAATGATATCGGGTATAGTCGGTGTATAATGAGTCACGCAAAGAGTGAAGCCAAGTCTACCTATTGAACTGTCAAACCGGTTACCTATCGTGCAAAGTAAACAAACATTACGATGCTATGAAAGGTATTACAGTAAACTATAAAATATATTCGAAGAAATGATCATAAACACGTAGTGAGCATTCAATTGTCAGGGGATACGTTTGGTATAACCAGTAATGAGAATTTCTACTATTTTTTGTTAAGATAATTTGTCAAAATCACTGATAATATTATAATGATTTACTACAGCCGTTATTTTTTTTTTCTCGCTAGAAATCATTTGAAGTTGATGCAGAAGTCCTCTGCTGCCTAGTGAAAAGAAAGAAAGGGAATCTTTCGGAAACCGTGATACCGGCGCTGGTGGTGTAGTGGTAAGCGTAACTGCTTTCTCACCCCAATGGGTCTGAGTTCAATCCCAGCCGAGGTCGGTGGGATTTTTCTAAGGCATAAAAATCTCTGGTCACGTCTTCCTTCGGAAGTAAAGCCGTTGGTCCCGGCCCATGTGTGTTTGAATGGGTGCGATATCCTACGCAGGTGTGGAAGTTGCCTTCATGCACATTCGATTACCGTCAATGGATGGCGATCGATGTCCGTCGGTGATTGGCACTAGATTGCGGAACAGAGACCGACGTTAAATAAAGGAAGAAAGAAACCGTGGTGCGAGTTCAACTGTTTTTCTCTTGGCGTGACTCATTATACAATATCGGGAACTTTCCATATACACCGTGAACAGTTTTGGAAATGGTTGGTGGTCGTTCTTCGAAGTCCAAATTAGGCACGATTACCTGTCACAATGTGTCTATATTTATATTTCCGCAGGTGTCATTATTGGTGAGCATCATTGTTCAAAAAAGAGATAAACGATCGTGAAAGCGTTTAGCATCTTCTATGACTAACCACTGACCCATTCATCAAAATAAAGTTTACTAATCTTTCATGAAATCCCTTCCAGATCCATCAACTTATGCTCACCGACAAACCGCGACAAGATGCTTACCAGTCTGCCATTCTTGGCGGAAGGGACCTCTTCAAAGATAAAACCGTCCTGGACGTAGGAACCGGGACGGGAATTTTGTCCATTTTTTGCGCTCAAGCCGGTGCCAGAAAGGTCTACGCCGTCGAAGCCTCCAACTTGGCCCGTTTAGCACGGGGCGTCATCAAAGAGAATGGCTTCGAGCAGGTAATCGAGGTTTTTGAGTGTAAAATTGAAGATTTCCAACTGCCACCAGGCGCCGACAAGGTGGACATACTCGTATCCGAATGGATGGGATTCTTCTTACTGCACGAAGGAATGTTGGATTCGGTGATTTATGCTAGGGATAAATTCCTTAAACCGAATGGGCTGATGTTTCCGGATACAGCATCGATATTGGTTGCTCCCAGCAGTGTTCCCAGCCGGTTCGATGACTTTGAAAATCTGTCCGGGGTGAGTATGAAATGTTTCGGACGGGAGCTACGAAAGCAGAAAGCAGACAAACCGGAAATTTTGAACGTAGCGGCGGAGCACTTGCTGCACGAAGGGCACATAATGACGTGGCTGGATTTGAAGGAAGTCACTTCAGAAGACTTGAATTCCTTCGATATGAAGGAGGTGATGGTCATTCAGAATCCGGGCAAATTTCAAGGTGTTTGCATATGGTTTGACTGTACCTTTCCCAGCGGTGACACCAATCAGATGAATGAGGTGGTTCTATCGACGAATCCAAAGTGTCCCGCCACGCATTGGAAACAGAGTGTGATTCTCCTGCCAGAAGACGCCTGCGAGGAGGTGGACAAATTGGATCCTATTGCATTCAGCTTGAGTTTAGCGAGAAACTCGGAGAATAATAGAAGGTAAGTGATTTCGGAAAAAAAAACAAAAAAACCGGATAAATTTGGAAATTGATTATTTCAGATATAACTTGCAGCTAACGCTGCTGGATGTAGAGAAGGAAGAACACGGCTTACCTTGTGACTGTGTAATGACAAAGTGCATCCTCATGAAAGCGCATTTACAGAAGATGGAAGTCGATCAATAAAGCGCCACTGCGAAGGCACGATTTATTTTAGGAAGATTTTGACTGAGTATTATTACTGAACCAATGATTGAAATCCAACCGTAACAGCAATTGAGAGAGCGGAGCACTGCTTGGGCCAGCTTTGAGACCGATCAGAAGCTGCAGCAGCGAATCTACGTGGTTTTTGAACCTGCAAACAGAAGGTTAACATTATTAGTTGATCCAGTCTAGTTTATAGGTATAAATTCATGTAACTTACGCTTGTTCATAGCCATTGAACTCTTGCCGTTCCACCTTGGTCATTGGGTCTTTGCAGCTGCTACAGAATGAACAGAATTTGTCCACAATCACCAATACTTTATCCAAAATCGTTAGCACTGGATTCTCGTTGACGTGGATAATTCCCGTCGTTGTCATATCGGAAGTATTATTAGACAGCAGAAAGCAAAGGCTAAGCACATTCGCTTGAAAAACGGTATGGGCACGTTGGATTCTTTCGAAATCTTTTGTCTCACTGATAGCACCCATGAGAATACTGAACTGGCTTTCCAGAACGTCCACCTGTAGGTAATACTGCAGGTTATCGATGAGGAACATCAGTTGGCTACGAAACTGAAGCAGTTCGGAATTTTTCTTGACTTTGTTCTCCCTCTGTAGTGACCAGACTTGATGGATATCGTACTGAATCTTACGAACACGTAGCAGAAATCTAAACATTTCGTTATATTTATCCAAGGTTTTGGGAGAAAATAGCAAATGCAGAGGCCATTTCACTTTGTACTTGAGTGTGATATAGCTGAGAATTCCTTTCGTTTCGTAACAAAAACTATCAACTTCCTCTTTGGGAGGCAAGGCAAACGAAAACTGCTCGATATCTTCGGTTATGTTGACACTATTGGCTGCCAATTGGAATGCTCGATTAAAATCCCTCGACGACCCATCCGTTATGCCTTTACCAAACAGTTTCTTCAGCGATGTCGTTTGTCGCAATAATTCTGAAAAAAGCTCTCCTCTGCCTAACAAATAATAGTCCTTGATCAATTTCAATTGCTTAATCAAATCGGCTTCCTTGATGGCAATCTCGGACATCTGTTCCGTAACGCAGAGCTTAATTTCATCCACGATGTGTTCAAATTTGGCAATGTTTAGATTCTCATCCAACTGTAACTGATGGAATTTCTTGAAGAACGCATATTCCTGATCACCCCAAAGACTGTCCTTGATGGCAGCAAACTTCCTATCGGTCACAAATTTCTTATCTCCGATCGCTCGCTTCTCAGTGTTGTCCCTTGGATCGCAGTTCAACATTAAGACAGTCTGCCCGATGAAAAGCACATTTTCAGCCCAGCTCGCAGGAAAGTAGTAAGGCAGTATCTCGTGTCGAATCTCGTATCGCCATAACTCTGTGTTGATGCTGGTATTGTCCGAAAAGGAATTCACCGACACTTGGGTCCCTGCGCCGCCCGTAGTGCCTTGCGGGGAGCTTGGTCCGCCACTCCTGGTACTGTCCACATGCCGAATGAAAAATTCACCAAATTGATCCACAAATTTTCCGTGCAGTAGCCAACCGAACAGTTGCTTTATGAATATGGCATAGACCGCGTTCTGGATCCTAAAATTATTCGATTTATTATGATATATTGTTTATGAGCTGTCCACATCCCACGTACGTAGACAGTTTTTGAGTGGTTTAAGACAGGCTCTTACTGCCGGTGGAGCAGGCATTCCTGACCTTGGATCATATAGGATGTAATAGATACTCACAATTTGACAGCCTGGTAGTGCTTCTCATTTCCGTGCAAACAGTGTTGTTGCAGGTACTGTAACAACGCGCACCCATGAATCCTCTGAGTGATGACTCCGCTGACCAGCCGTAGCAGAAACCCGAACAACGACTGGTACTGATTCACCTGATGGTAGATGAAGATCAACGACAGATTAGGACGTTTCAGATAGTTGGCCTCCAGTTGAACTATCAAATCGCGGTACGGTTTCACCGCCAAATCCAGTCCATCTGCGAATGCCTGCAGGTACAGCCCCTGTGGCAGCGGTTCCTCCGACGGTTTTTGTTGTTTCGGTTTTATCAGGCCAGCCGATTGGGTTCCATACTGGTGAATGAACTTCTTCAATTCCTTGTATTGGTTGGCAATGCGAATGAGATCTTCCAGAATTTTAATCTCTCCGGGGTGCAGAAAGTTGGAAGCCACCTCCGGAATCTGTTTGAAATGAGTGTAACGAGTTAGCAGATGCGAAAAACATCTGAGCTAAATATGTTGGATACCGTAAAGTTTTCGATTGGAAGATCCGAAGTTGAAGAAAACAGCGTAAACAGAATGTCGTGAATCATTTTGCCTGCTTTTTTGATACCAACACACAATTTCACCCAAGCAACAAGCATACAATTAGATTTCTGGCGAATTTGCGTTCCATTTGTTTACTATATTTTTGAGGAACAATATTAATATTTTGGATCGGGCGCCCACAGTTTGACACTTGGGACAGTTATAGCATCATCATTAAATCCGAACGCAGCCATTTTGAGGATTGATGATTTTCTACTTTTTAGCGTGTATAGTTAAAAATGATATAGCTGTCATCGGCGTCTTCGTGCGGTGGATTTTCGTTGCGCTTTCCCCTCGTTTGATCCGCTGTGTGTGATGTGTTTTCGTGTTTGGATTTACGAGTGCTCTTAGAACGTTGGCGAATTGAAAAAAAAAAGTGTTTTTCGTTGAAAAATAGTGGGTTTTCGTCGGTTTTCCGTGCATTCTCGATTTCTGCACTAGCCGCACTCCACTTTCGTCACAATGGCCGATCCGTTAAGTTTGCTGCGGCAGTACAACATCAACAAAAAGGAAATCATCGAACGCGATGGCCAGATCATATTTGGCGAATTTTCCTGGCCGAAAAATGTCAAAACAAATTATCTAAAATACGGGTGAGTGTAATGTTTGCTATATTTTAGTATTTTTGTATTTAGTTTGGTATGGAAATGGGTTTTGATTGTTGGAATTTCGGTGATTAATGATCTACGCCTCAAATTTCAACTCTCAGATCTGGTAAAAAGGGGGCTCCCAAAGAATACTACACACTCGAGTGTTTGCTGTACATTTTGAAAAATGTGGGACTACAGCACTCCGTTTACGTTCGGCAAGCAGCCGCCGAGGATATTAATGCCGTAAACCGTCCCGATCGTAAAGAATTGCTCCAATATCTCAATGGCGAAACGAATACCTGCGCCAGTATCGACAAGAGCGCTCCACTTGAAATTCCGACTCAAATCAAAAGACCAGCCGACTCGGACGCATTGGACACGCTTGCCAAGAAGGCTCGCTACGAGGATACACAGGTTCAGAAAGTCAAAGAACAATTGGCCGCCCGTCTCGATGTCAACAAGAAGGAAGCCTCCGTCAACATTGACAACATCAAATCCCTATCGGAGACTATGTCCGTGGAAAAGATTGCTGCTATCAAAGCGAAGCGTTTAGCCAACAAGAAAGTCACCATCAAAAGAACGGACAATGATGACACTATGGGCGTAGGGCCAGATTTAAGGGCAATCCTGGATTTCGATGTCGATTCTACAAAGGACATCATTAGCAGGGAACGTCAGTGGCGTACTCGAACGACTATACTGCAGAGCAATGGGAAAATCTTTGCCAAGAACATTCTGGCCATTCTGCAAGGTATTAAAAACCGCGAGGAAGGTCGGGGTCGGCCTCAGGCACCGGTCATCAAGCTGCCAGAACCACCACGTGTAAATCGGCCGCAACCACAGCCGGCACAGTATAATCGTTACGATCAGGAACGATTCAGTCGTCAGAAAGAAGAAACGGAAGGCTTTAAGATCGATACCATGGGTACCTATCATGGAATGTCTCTGAAGTCGGTGACGGAAGGCTCGGGAGCGCAAAAGAAAGCCCAGCAACAGAACAACAGTCCAATATCGACGAATCTTCCACCGGGGCGGCCAAAAGAACTGCTACAGACGGTACAGGCTCGCATGTTGCCTCAGAGTAATACTAACAAGCGTCAAAGCAAGACGCCCATCATCGTCATCCCAGGAGCCACTACAAGCTTGATCACCATGTACAACGCTAGGGATGTTCTACAGGATTTGAAGTAAGTCGGTTGCAATTGAGATTCGTTGGAAAACTAACTATGGCATATATTTCGCTAGGTTTGTCACATCCGAGGAGAAGAAGACCAAGGGCTGCGTTCGAGAGAACGAGGTCCTGATCCAGGTATGATAAAGCCCGTCTATAACATAAAAAAAAAACATTGCGATATCATGAATTGCATTGCAGCGTCAAAAACCCGGAGGATTAACTGTACCGTATCGCGTAATCGACAACCCGTCGAAGCTGTCGGCCCAAGATTGGAACCGCGTTGTTGGGGTATTTGTGATGGGTCCTGCCTGGCAGTTCAAGGGCTGGCCGTGGGATGGAAATCCAACTGAAATTTTCTCAAAAAGTAAAACATTTCTCCTTCATAGTTGTTCCCTAGATAAGACGTATTAAATCACTTGCTTTCAGTTGCTGCCTTCCATTTGCGCTATGACGAGATGAAACTGGACGCAAACGTTGCCCGTTGGTCCGTAACGGTGCTAAACATTTCTCGAACCAAGCGGCATCTGGATAAGGCTTCCATTATGGTGTTTTGGGAGAAGCTGGATATGTACATGACTAAGTACAAGCCGGATCTCCGCTTCTAAAAGGCATCAGTCGTTTTCAGCTTGCGACAAGTTTACGAATAAACATTAATTGTAATCAGCACTTATTGATGAACCGATAGTGTGTAGATTCAGGTAGATTGTTTGCTACATTATACAAAATAGATACTTTACCCAGGCAGAAGCTCCCCCTTGTGCAGCATCAACACATTTATCAGTTCGTGAACAGATAAAGTTTGTCTTTGATTTCTAAAATGCTAATAACAACTATTAGGTACATGCTCTAATAAGACCGTGATAGCATGGATGTCGCTGTCATTTTGAATTAAGTTACTTCTTAGAACCAATAAACTTACTGCAAAGAAAGCTGCTTGGATTTCTTAATCACAGGTCCACTTTTATCACTTAGCCGAACTTTTTTTTTTCCATGATCCCATTCCACCGGGGGTCTTAGGAAACGAAGTAATAAATTCAAACAAACAGGCAAACCTTGATTTACTTAGTTTCCCGGGATGCTCGGCAATCCTATAATAGACAGTTCTTAATTTATGCCGAAAATCTCGGCTAAATAATGTACTGACCACTCGGCAAAAGCACCTCGAAGCACCTTCTGAACAAGGCATTACTATAGTAACTGGAGCACCTAGGTTAAAATGAAATATGTAATTTATTTTGAATTTGTTACTTTTCCGGTTTACTTTTTGTCTCTAGGAAAATTTCGCAATTCTGTCACTAGTAGTGAGATCAAAACTGACAGTGGTCCATGTTATAACGGTTGTCAAATAATTGCAACACATAAACCACCATCAAGATAGCGCTATAACATGTTATAACTCTGCAGTCTGAACGTACTATAATAGTACGTTCAGACTACAGAGTTATAACATGTTATAGCGCTATCTTGATGGTGGTTTCTGTGTTGCAATTATTTGACAACCGTTATAACTCTCCAGTCTGAACAAGGCATAAGACTAGTAGATCCCGAAGAAACGTAAGTTGAGCACGTTTCTTCGGGATCTACTAGTCTTTGGCTCAGCTCTGGTACTATCTTAGGTCCCAAGCTAATCGATGTACCCCTCGAAACATAGAAAAATCCACGAACCCCTCAAACTTTCATAGCAAATCAAAACAAACATAGTCCCCCCTATTCTGGGAGTCACGTGACTCTCTCTCACCGTTGAGGTGACAATAGTCACCTCGTGTGAGGTGACTCTCCATTTGATTTACATGGAGAGTCACCTCACCGGTGACAGAGAGTCACGTGACTCGCAGAATAAGGGGGAGTGTAGTACTAGAATGTCGACTAGACTGGGGTCCGTTAATCGATTTGCTTGGGACCAATGGACCGCTATGTCAAGCAGCTTTGACGTGACTTTCTACCAGTCTTTTCACAAAAATGAACCAACAAATTACTCTTTTTTTTATAAAACACACACATTTGGGCTAGTTTTCTCGTGATTATAGAAGAAAAAATCTCAAAATATTGTTTTATTTCGAAGTTCGAGTGATAGTAAACACCATTTTAACTGCTCGAATGAAGTGGTTAATAGGCTAGTCAAGTGGTGAGCCAATTTAAAATCGTTAGTTTCCACCGGTTGGTAGTACCATAGAGGTAACTCTAAGACCACTGGGTCCCGAAGAAAATCATTATTATTTTTGGCTCACTCAGTACCAGAACAACGGTCCCAAGCAGTCCCAAGCTATTTCACTCACCCCTGCATGTTCTGCATGAATCCACACACCCCTGATGTTATCTGTCAAACTTTCATAGCGAATCAAAACAAACATAGTGTAGTAATAGAATTTCAACTAGAATAGGGTACGTTAATCGTTTGCTTGGGACCAATAGGCTACTAAAGTGGTGAGCCAATTTAAAATCGTTAGTTTCGTATTGATTGTTGGTAGTACTGTACCAGGGAGGCAACATTAAAATCATCTTCAGAACTTTGTTCTGAATCCTTTGAAGTACTTTCTTCCTGGTAGTGCAACAACTAGATCATATTGGCACAGCGTAAAGCATTGCCGGTCTAAACACTTGTTTAAATATTAGAAGTTTATTCGTTAGGCAAAGTTTGGATTTCTTGTTTATAAGAGGATACAAACATTTTATATATTTGTTCGTCTTAGTTACATTTGACTTGAATGCCCTCAATGTGATCTTTAAAAGTTAATTTTATGTCAAGTACTAATCCAAGATATTTCACTTGGTTTGACGAAGACATCTTCCTTTAGCGGAAATGCTTGCACTGAAAAAAGTTTTCACTTAGTTTCTATTAGGAACGCACATAATATTTTTCCAATAACAAAAATAATGATTGCTATCAGAATTTCACATAGCATAAGAAATTCTATATGAGAAATCATATGGATTTCATTGGACACATAACGTTCATGTGATTTAATGGTGCAATTTCCAATTATGGGATCACATGAAAGTTATGTGAAATTCACATGGATATTTTCCACTGGTTATGTGATTTATTTTATGAGTGTGTGTCATCAGAGAATAAAGATTTGTGGCAACCCTGAGGTAAATCAGGGAGGTCCGAAGTGAAAATGTTATACAATATAGGACCAAGAATGCTACCCTGAGGAACTCCTGCTCTAACAGGTAGTCGTTCAGATTTGGAATTTTGATAATTTACCTGTCAGTTAAATAATTTTTGAACTAATTTCATAATATATAGTGGGCCCTGCGCTTTGGTCAGAGAGCGTATAGGGCATCGTTGTGCCAGATTGGTCGTGGCACATTTCGAGTATGAGAAGGTGGTTACAGTTTGCTCAAAAGTGCCTGAGCAAAATGCAAGTACTTTCAATGATTACCCGTAGTTGCAATACCCAAGCAGCAACTTTGACTTTGTATGAGTTGTTTACACCAGTATTTAAACTTAAAGAAGGTTTTGAAACTTTCATAAGGTGTACAATGCTGTTTGGGTAGTGAAGGTATAATTTTGAACTAAAATAGGATACAGTCAAAACATTGAGAAACATAACGCATAATTTAAAAAAAAAATGCATGAATTTGCAACCGATGAACCATTCTGATGGCCTATGGGTACCCAAGTAACCATATAGTCGCAATAAAGCTTTGTATATACTCACTTTGCGATAATATGGTTAGTTGGGGAATCCGATGAAAATAATCACTTCTTGAAACTAATCCCGGTTGTATGTATTTCTTTCTTTCTTTCTTTTGCAATTTGCATATAACACCGACGGAGTGCACATTCCAAGTGCTGGGTGACCTAAAGATGACCAGTGACATGGGACGCGAATGTCCTCCCAGAAAAGCAGGGGAATACAATAAAATTTGTTTTCGTTGAAGGATGTATCACAACAAAGGTAATTTAGATGCATAAAACAAATTTACATTTATAGCACAAGAAACAAGGAAACGGGAAAGGAGACGTGAACATCAAGGTACGATGGAGACTCACTCATCACATTGGAACAACCAGATAAGTACACTTGCTTTTTATTTTATTCTACACATATATCCCAATCATTTTATAACTAAATACGTGCCAGAATAAAAAGTTTTTTTTTCTGGAAGTGAGAATACACTTGTGTATTTTTGCGGGGCTTATTGTATCAGAAAATGACCTCAGAATGTACGTGCAGAAACAGGCATTCTTGAAATGGGTCGTTTGATGTACGATAGAGCTGTCACCTTCCATCTCCAGGGCTAAAAATATTTGCACATTCGACATACAGAAAATGCAGATAAGTTTCTTCCATAAAAACTCTGCCGGTACAGAGGGCGATGGATTGTACTCACACACACACACAATTTCATAATATATAGTGGAAAATTAAACATTTTTCAATTTAGCAAGCAAACCTTCATGCAACACTGTCGAATGCTTTTTCTATGTCTAGAAGAGCAACTCCAGTTGAGCAGCCTTCAGATTTGTTTGAACGAATTAAATTTGTAACTCTTAAGAGTTGATGAGTAGTTGTGGTTCTGCAAAGATTGAGTTCGTATTGATGTGAAAAATCATTCTATTCAAAATTATCTTTACAAACAATTTCCTTATTGAAGAAAGCAAACTTACTGGACGGTAGCTAGAAGCTTCAGCTGGATTTTGCATGTTTGCATTTATCAGGAAAGTATACCAAATGGAAACATCTGTTAAATAATTTTACCAAGAAAGACAAGGTACTCTCTGGGAGTTTTTTGATGAGGATATAGAAAATTCCATCATCACCTGGAGCTTTCATATTATGAAACTATTTACCCCTCACCATCCCTCTCCAACGGGGGAGTTTGGTAAAGAGAGATGATCAAACCGGAATGGAACTATAAATTATATACTTTCATCTCCTCATCTATCGTATAAAAATTACCACTTTAGTCTGTTATTTGAAATTAGCATCTTCAACTATGTAAATCGTTGACTTCACGCAGAAGTAATACCACAAACGAAGTGACAGATGACTAACTGGCGAAGAAATCCATTTAAATAATGTGGTTCACTGTAATAGAATTTTCTTGGAAGCTTGTGCCATCATCCACCAGATGGGTTAGTTTTTTTGTTTTGATTTGAACAAAGTTGATTTTGTGTACAATGATTCTTTGACAGTGTGCAAAGAGTGCGTATCATTTTGTCATTTTTTTATGCATTTCAGTTTTGAGTAGAGTGAAAGAGATAGAACCAAAACATTCTAGTACATTCGGTTAAAATGCTAGTTCAATCTAGTAGTAGTGTTGCCATGTGGTACAATCCAGTAGTAGTGGTGTTGCCATGTGGTACACTGAAAAATTGCAATAGCAGGTTAGTCACCAAAGTTTTCGAGCCGCTCCGTCTGTCACTTCGTTTGTGCTTGAACTGCGAAATGAACGTCCAGAAATCTGACCGATATCGGACTTGCTCTATTCGTTGTCAAGTCAATTGAACGCCTACGACCAGATCGGTTTGAGTTGAATTTAACTCACCTGCCTCATCTAAATCCCGCTTAATGCAGACCTTTTCCGTGCAATCAATAATCATACAATATAATAATAAAAAATTCCACCACTTGAAGATATCTGGAAGGAACTCTCAGGTGGAAGCATATTTCATGGGCGATTCTCTCCAGTAGAATGCATTAACTTATCAACGACGCTCAACCACCAAGGAGATGTGACCTAGAGAGATCGAGTGCAAGGGAGTTGGCCTTCATTTCTCACAAGTTCCGGATCGAATCCCAATCCATAACCAGTAAAAAAAGGACTCACCCGTAACAGACATACCACCATAGAGGTAACTCTAAGACCACTGGGTCCCGAAGAAAATCATTATTATTTTTGTCTCACTTAGTACCAGAACAACGGTCCCAAGCAGTCCCAAGCTATTTCACTCACCCCTGCATGTTC